GGGCTCCCTACGACTTCCGGGCTCCCTACGACTTCCGGGCTCCCGGATTCTTTATAGCTCCAGGGCTCCCAACTACTCCGGGCTTACGGGCTCCTGGGCTCTCAGTCGCCCTACAGTTCCTACACTTTCGAGCCATTGGCCACTTCCAGGCTCTGAACTGATATGTTAAGGAGGAAGAAAAGAAAAAGGAGAAAAGAAGAGAACGATCGCTAGAAATACTTCTCCCAGGACTCGGAATTCGCAAACTGTTTTTCCAGACCAATGAAAAATCCAAGCGTTTATCTTAACAGCTCTGTACCCTGTAAATGTTAAGTTGTTAAAGTGGAGTCTGCACTAACAATTAGCTAGCAGCAGCCCCTGTTTTACAGCCAACTTGACTAACAGATTACCTGCGCGAATTTTCGACCGTTCTCTAGGCTCAGAGAATAGAGACGTACGGATACTCCGTACGGTATACAGTAAGGACATGCTTTGACAAACGCTTCTTGAGCAGATCTGTCGGACCCTCTAATTTTGCTCCATTTGACATGAACAACTATGTTGTCAGCGATCTCAAATCTCGTTCATGACAAGGTCACTACCAAAATACCATTGAAGGTAGGGAGTTGATGGCGATGCCGCCTGTCATGTCCTCGGCCCGCCAAGATTTCAAGGCAGTTCCGTACCCAACTCCATATGTTCATATAGGGTACCGCTAATACTCACTCGTAGGAAGAAACGCTAACCTGTTCCAGCTAGCGACATCTGGATTTTGCGTGACTGCTCTGCCAAGCTCTCTACGGCTCTCAGATCCTCTCTCAGTTTCAATTCGACAACCACGATAAAAAGTGGGTAAAGGCATACTTTGGTTGGCTGTCATTCAATGGTTGGAGGTATGGCTGCAGTAGCGCCGATTCTAGCGTTTCTTCCTAACGAGTAAGTATTGGCCGTATATATACCCGTTGGCCCGAGCTTCTTCCATTAACGGGCCACTGTCAAGACAGTTGGCTATAAAATCCAGGGACAGGACAAAATCCAGGGACAGTTAGTGCAATATATAGGACTCCCATACTAAAGACTAACATTTCAACGATAGAGTAACCTGCATCTCGAGTATTATTGTACTTCTGGAAAAACAAAGATAACCGTTAGATCCGCCTTGAAGAGGCGACTTGAATGATACCTATTTTGATAGGTTGTATTCTATTTCTCTAGAGTTTTTGGGGGAAGTTGCCGAGTCATGGTGCAAATCTTGTGTTCTTGTACGACTTACACGACTTCGAGATGCAGGCAAGAACGCCACTTTTGCACCAAGATTCGGCAGAAACTCTAGAGTCTGGGATGCACCCTACTATTATAGGTGTCATTCGAATTGCCTCTTCAAGGCGAATCTAATGGTCATGTTCGTTTTCTTGGAAGTGCGGTATTCGGGTCTGCGATTGGATACAACTGCTCAGCCTGTTAGTCTTTGTATGGGAATCCCATACATTGCGCTAACTGTCCCTGGATTTTGTCCCGTCCCTGGATTTTGTCCCGTCCCTGGATTTTGTAGCCAACTGTCTTGACAGTGGCCCCTTAATGGAAGAAGCTCGGGCCAACGGGTATGTTGTCAGTGGAGGCGCTCAGGGTGCCGTTTGCGTTTGCAGGCAGATGCTATTTTCTACCCTACCAAGTATCAAGCAATTAGAGTAAAGCCGCTTGATCGACTTCAAGTTGATGTGCCTCGATTTTTTCCTAAGTACAATACCTGGTAGTTGCACTTGGTACCTTTCAGGTAGCTTACTTGCTCCGGCTTTGACGGGAAGAAGGAAGAAATCCTCCTTCACAGATCAAGGGAGTCTGAGATCGGATGTGGAGTAGAAGTGCCTCTAAACGATTGCTGGGCTATCGTGTCCGGCAATGACCCTGAATCGACGCGTATAGGTGCATGTTTTGAAATCAAGGGCCATGCCCATAGCGATATTGAAAGTTTGGCTTCCCAGACAGTTGATCTCCGTTGCATGTGGAGGAAGGTAAGGTAGGTATGTAGTAGCTTTATTGGAGTTGCAAAGTAACAGGAGATAGTATGGGAAAACAGATGAGGATTTCTCAAAGTAACGTTATTTATAGCCACGGATGTGGACAGGCTTAACAGCAAAAGTCTGAAGTAAGGAGATGTCGAGACTTGCCCGCCATGATGGTCTGCAGTGGACGATGCTCGGCATATGTATTAGGAACTTGACATCAAGTTCTCTGACGTGAAGCTAGTCAAAGTCATATCTACATTTATATAGATAGCTCCACTCTTACGAGGACTCTAGTGTTGTAGCGAGAGCTTGTAAAGGTTTTCAACAAGGAAGCCAGGAGCGTTCCAGAAGTAAGGTATTGAGTATGCCATTGCCATCATATATAGGTGTCTCTCTTCACTATAAGCGTAGCATTTCAAGCCATCTCTCTGTATTATGCAAAGTCAAACGGCCAAAACAGCTGGCACCAATCCTACTAATTTGTCTGATTTGATAGAAACAGAACGTGAGTTTGTCGCCATTGCTATCGTCCCATCCAGGGCTTTTCTCATCATATACATGTATCCACCGTGACCAGTCGTCTCTAAGAGAAAGCTGAAATTTCTCGTTCTCATTCTATTACCATTTGAGTACTACCATCTAATCGTAGCCGTTGTTGACTGAGTCATATGTCCATATTGGGGATGCCCAGGGCAGTGCTCCATTAGTATTTACGTAGGTCAGACACCGACAATTCTAAACCCAGGCTCCGGGAATCCTGAACGCCTCTTCGTTAAAGTCTCCGTCTACATTAGACGACGCGCCATTTTCTTCCTTCGCCGCTTTCTCTTCTCCCCTGTCGGCGTGGTTATCATCTTCCAGGGACCCCTCTGACAATTCCCAGAATTGGCGAAGAATGGGCTTGTATTCTAAAAAAGAAAATAGGCCCCTGGCGAAGGGGAAGTAATCAGTATCACGGTTCCTCTCTTCAATATTCCCATTTCGAACCCAGTCGATACGGATTACCCCGTTCGGTAACACCGCCATCCCGGCGATCTTCTGGTTGAGTAGGTCTGGCGGCCACCCCGTTGTGCGCCATAGTTCCTGCTCTCGGTGGAAATACTCTCGTAGGCCGATGCCCTCCTCCTCCAAAATCTGGAGCCATTTTCTTGCAGCCTTTCAAAGATCACGATCCTCAAGCTCATGATCCCAATCTAATCCTAGGCCCGCGAACCTGAACCAAGGGGGCCTGATCTCAAGCCTAGGTCTGTCCCAATATTTGGCCTCTTCAGGATTGCTCCAATATCCAGACTCAAAATAATGACTGCGGTGTGCTAGAATGAGCTGAAGAGGCGTTAGAGGAGTGCAGGGTGTTGTCGCATGTAGGTCTGGCCTAGCTCGAACGACACTCCGTAGCAGTGCTTCCTGTGTGCAATAGCGACTCTTAACTTTGGATACCAGGACAGACCGAACAGACTTGTGTAAGACGATATGTAAAAGGGTATATCCGCTTTTGGCAGGCTGATGTACCATATGTTGGGTATTCGGGGAGTTAACGAGTAATCGGATGTAATCTAGCTCCCAATTATTGGGGCGCGGACTAAAGAGTGGAACATGTGTCGAGAGAATGTTAGCCCACAGTGGTTGCCGTACGTATTCCATTTGGAGCTCGGCGGCTGTCAACTGTGAGATGAGGCACGAGAAGAAGTTGGGCGATCCGCAATACGTTTCCAAAAGGTTGTTGCCCAAGCTGTCTTTGTCCAGGAGGTCGAAGTTTTCGCCTTCCGACATGTAGGCGCCAGATATCATAGTACCAATTTGGGGAACCGTCGTAGCTCGCTTCAAAGTATTTGGTGTGTCGAAAGCGCGCATACACCCACCCAGAGTACGCGAATTCTTGCAACGGTGTACGTCTTGCGCTTCGTTAGCAGTGTTTGGGACGCATTGTATACGGCAACTTGCCCTTTAATGTTGGACCCTGCGTTTGCATCTGCTCCATTTTCCACAAGGAAGCGTACCATTTGGCTACCTTTTCGGCCTGGTGTAAACGCCTTTAGAGCGTGCTAGAAGGATTCGCAGCGTTAGATCGGTGGACTACTCAGTCTCTGAAGAAAACCCACGTGTAAGAGAGTACACCCATCCTCGTCAATATCGAAGGGCGAGGCCTTCCCTTCTCGAAACAATCGTTGAACTGCTGGTATATCGCCTTTTCTGCAAAGCTTGAAAATGGGAGAACGGGAAGGAAGTATAGGAATGCTCCTAATAGAGTACTCCCAGCCTGTATAGATTCTTGTCATCCGAAACTGGTAGCGACGGGAAGTAGCCACGTCGGGAGCTGAACAGTGATACGAGTTTCATCCACTCCTTTCTGGCTGTCTGCTTGATGGCCATGGATACTCGCCAGTCGTGTGGTTTTCATAGTCCTCCTGATCTCCACCGATCCGATATACGTCCTTTCCGAGCGCATCGCGTGTCGAGTTCCGAGACCAAGGCCAATCGTACTGTGCTCCTCTGCCATGTGTTGCCGGGCCTCGACATCAGCGCTACCAGCGAGGCTTTGATTGTCAAGTTGTTGAATGGATTCTTGGTCCAGCGTACGAATTTGGGTGAGTTGGCTGAGCGTTTGAATGGCGTTCTTGACTTCAGCCATCTGCTTGCGTTGCATTTCCCACTCATGCCTACCAGCGTTACTGGAGACTTCATCAGTATGGCGAACTAGACAATCTGACGTTCAAGCCTGACAATCTAAGATGGCACTCACTGATAAAAGACCTGATTAGCCAACATCAGAGTGGTTTTCGCAGCTTCAATCTGTCTGCGAAATCGAGCTATCTTCTCGCCTCTCATCCATTCTCAGCGCGGCCTTCAACGGCCCCAGTCTCGTGCTTCCGGCCATATCAGTGCTGATGTCTCCCAGAAGCGTCCGCAGGACATTGTTGCTTGCCCAGCACAGGCGCAGGCTTTTCGTCACGGCGGCTTCGTACGCCGGCAGGCAGAAACTCTTGCCCCGTATGCTTTGCTCCATATCTTGCAGCACCAGGCTCAGGACCTCGATCTCATCAAGCCCGACACGGATCTCGCCTGGGCATTCTTTCACTGCGTCACAGAAATCCTTGAGTCTTTGGATGGTTTCCGTCAGCTGTATGGCCAAAGACGCGACGCTCAACCCGCCGGCTACAACGGCGAAGATTTCGGCCATAGCTCCGGTCGGGTAAAGAATGATAAAGAGAGTACCAGTAATTTCAAAGTCAAACCGAGTTAAGATCACCTGTGACTTACTTGGAGCTATTAGTTGTCAGTGGGAAGGAGTGAGTCTGGAAACGGCGGTCTAGCGGCGCTTTACTGGTTTTCTATTCGGCCAGAACTCCAAAGCACTGATGTGGCTGTGTAGCTGTAAGGCGTCTTGACATTGGTTTGATGTCGAGGGTTGTCTGAGCTGATTGGATGGTAATTGCTTATAGTGGCAGCTTCAGGGCAGGAAGTAGGCATCCCGGGCTGTTGGCTGCATCGCCTTGCGGCAAGGCTCCGAGTCACTGGGCAACCGTCCCAACAAGTTGAACCACTGCAGAACCGGGTGCATTTTGTCAAAGATTCGATCCAAGTTAACTCTGCCCATAAATGTCCCAACTGGAAAGGACTGACGGCTTCCAGATTTGTAATCACAAAGGTGCTCTTGGCACCACCGCCATAATCCCGAACCATAAGTACCCTAAGTACCTTAGACGAACACCACTGGCAGAGAGACTACCTACTTGCGATGCTGGCCTCGGTCTTCCCTCGAATCGACCAGGTGGGTGAGACAGTCATTGAGAGACAAGATCTAGCAAATGAATCTCAGCATCCGCATTATCAAGATCCTTGACATCGCGGTACGCTCAGTCTTGCCGGGTGGCAACTGAACTGAGCTCTGTCGTGATCTGGACGGACTGATGTTCTGTGTCAATTGCGGCAAAGGCGGCATGAAACACCACGGCCTATAGTCTCGTGACCCGTCTCTACTTCCTGCCCAAGCCAGCATGCGACTACCCATAAGGCGGCATGCAGTGCGGTTCCAAACAAGTTAAAAAGGGGGCCTTGCCGCTTCTAGGCAGAGAAAGCTCATGATGTCGCCGGTATACCAGCCATTAGCCACCCCCTCTCGAGTCGTCCGGGTCTCGGAATACATAGGTGAAAGACGGGAAACTGGAGCTCATCCGGAGCAGCATCTCTTCACCCTTCTCCCGTCGACCTCCTACCTCAACTCCACGCTATGAGGCGAGACCCGCCGATTTTTCTGTGAACTAGGGAGGATCGACGGGCAGCAAGGCTTTCACCAGGGCTCACACGCCCCTTTTCTCCCAAGCTGAGGTAAGATTTGCCCTAGCTCTCCCACCGGACAAACCAAACCCGAGAGAGCGAAAAAGGCATATGCACCGGCTCCTTCAGAAGTTCACTCCCTTCCCCTTCTGCCTACCTAGGTAGCTAAGCTTCCTCGCGCTGCACGGCCTGGGCTTGCGCTCGGAGCAGGACCTGGCCTACTCATCATCAGGGCTATCGGCGGCGTCGAGCTCGCTGCGGCGTACAGACTCTCCCGGCCGAGTTTGCCGACGTCTTTGTCGGCGCCCGCGAGCGTGTCAGCGCCTACCCGACCACAGGCGCCATGGCGCTGTCCGACGGCCGCCAGCCTCTACGGCTTCACCGCCCCGCCGCGTAAGGTAGCCAGGGGCGTGGGCGCATCACGGGTGAGGTTCTTCAGGCTACCGCCAGCGTGCTGTACACCGCCCCGTCAGCGTCGGCATCGTCATCGTCTTCGTTGTTGTTACCTACGGGATCGCTGGGCGGCGATGCCGCCACTGCGCCAGGTAGGGTGGGGACGGGAAGGGCGAACTTGGAAGGGCAGGTTGGTCTTGGACTCCCGGTAGCTGGGATAGGGGTGACGATGGGTGTTGTGTTGGTGTAAGGATATACATATAGAATGTATATCTAGAGGTCGTATTGCTGGAATCTGTTAGGAAGCTAGCCAAGAATGATTGTTTTCCGCCGTGAAAGAGCCTGGCACTGCAACATTCGTCAAATCGGTTGAACGTGCCGCTTAATTGGATCCATTCTCAACCTCGATACTATCCCCTGGAAACAGGTTCAACCCTTGGCTAGCTCTTGTCCAGCTCCTTGGACAGCGTATACTCCTGATATGATCCCTGAGACAACAGACCCCCCTGGGTCTCCCCCCTTAGCCCAAACTAACCAACCCCAAACGACACCTCACTGAGGCATATGCTCAAACGGCTTGGCCAGCTTCTCCTGGCAAAACGGCAGCTTGCTGACAGTCCAGATCTCGGTATCCTGCGGTCCCCAACCAGCCCACCGTCAGCCTCATCTTTCCCATCCCTTGAATCTCACAAAACAAAAGAAAAGCGGGGGACAAAAGAAGAAGGGAGGAACGACATACCGGCTTCAAGCCCTTCTTAATCTCCATATCAAGGGAGCCGCCCTTGAGGGCGATGATTTCGGGCGCCGCGCTCGGCTCGTGCGCAATGGGCGAGCCACACTCGCTGCAGAACCACCGATATACGGCGTTGCCGCTGTCGGCCGTGCCCTCGTATTTCTTGAGCGGGCCGTCGACGGTCAGCTTGTCCTTTGGTACGACACAGACCAGGGCTGTTATTGTTTTGCTGTTAGCTTGCTGATGATTTTCCCTGTGTGGGGATGTGTGATGGGTGACGTCGTGCCGCGGTGAGCTTGATGTAATTGTAAGTGCCCTCCCCAGCCCCTATTCCTCCGCCCCCACTTTCGAAAGGGGCTGTAAAGTAATGTATTCAACCCGGAGAGTTGTAGTCAAGGAAAGGGAACTATAAGTGGAAAGTCGGACGAAGAGGAGGAGGTTCCCGGTCTTATGTCCGGTGCTTCCAGAAGGGCAGGCAACGCCTGGGGGCATGAGATTCCAACTACAAGTCGGGAGTAGAGCGCTTACAGTAGGTCGAGCCGGACTGGCGCTGGCAGTCGTCGCAATGGTCGTAGCCGGTGAGGACTGGCTTGTCAACATCGACCTTGTAGGTCACGGCCTTGCAGAGACAGTGGCCCGTCAGAGGCATCTTGGGTGTATAATATGTGGGCTTTAGGTATACGACGATGGTGTCAATGGGGGTGAAACGGAGTTTAGGGGGCTGACGGTGCCTGCTCGAGACGGGAGACGTGGGAAACTGAAGCCGAGTAAAAGTAGATCTCTAAGTGCGGTATGGCAGCAGTGAGATCGGATTTCAGGGTTGGGGAGACCTTTGTTTAAATACAAAGGCCCGGTCAACTTTCCTTGGTTTGTGCGAGGGCCGGGGATTGGCCTCCTTGACAGGGCGGCATATCAAGGCACGCACGAGATAGGCAGGCGCTGGACTGAATGTACAAGAGGCAAGTGCGAACCGGGAGCTCAGTAAGACGAGTACATACTGTACCTTGGTCACGGATCCACGCGCAGTTGCGGGAAGATAACATCAGGACTGGCTTGTAAGTGGATCCGGATTCGTTGCACGAGCTTTGTTTCGATCATCCAGCCGGGACACAATGAAAGCGGCGGGATCCATCAGACTGGAAGCTCCTCCCCGGCAGTTCTTTGCGTAGAACCTAAGGTCAAGCAGAGCCATCAACATTGTAGAGCAATATGTACTCCGTTTCCGGTAGTTTCTCATTGGGACGTCGATGTCCAGCGTCTCCAGAATCCGAGGCTCGAAGCTTCCACGAGCTGCCGTGTACGAGGATACCAGCGTATTAATTACGGCGGCGTATGCAGTTGCAGTATCCGGAGCTGCCATCTTCCCACAGTTCCGGGTGGTGGGCTTCGACTCTCGGGAGATCAAACAGAATTGGAGGCAAGGTACCTAGAATCGCGGTGTAACCTGTGAGATAAGTGGTGATGGTACTTGGATCCCAAAGCTGCACGTCGTAGTGGCCCCGCGCGGGGCAGGTTATTTGTCACGGTCCCCACACATTGCCCCTCCTTTGACCACATTTGACCACAAGAATGTCGTTGCCATCACGAACTAATGTCGAGTATTTGGAATTCTCAAATGCTGCGGCTGCATGGCGCGGAGTCGGCGAAGTGCATAGAAATGAAATGATCAGCGAGCAGAATCCGAGAGCCTGCGGACACATGGAAGGGATACTCCGAGATGTATTCTTTCTTTTCTTACATATCAATAATCTTTTTGAACCACATTTCCTACCCTCAAGTGCATGGCCACAGCAACAGATTGACCGTACTACACGGTACCATGCTTCCAGAACCTCCAATGCCGACCCGGCACGGAATGCCGGGCCCCTCCAGAATTTAGTCTTCGATCCGATCCGTTCAGAACACTTCTGCTTGCCGGGCCTGGCGGCAGATCCAAAGGGTTTCGAGGTTGGTCCCGGATTTTGGAATCCAGCTGAGAAACCGGGCCGGTTCTGAATCCTAAGCTGTGACATCGAAGGGCTGTAAGTCCGACAGAGGTATATGGCGTCGGCCCAATTTCCCCCGGTTCAGGAAATCCCAATGTCATATCGTGTTCCGGTTCATCCGCTCATGCGCCCCTTGGACGGAATGTTATCACCGGCCACGAGCCGATCTGTTTTGGCGACGACTAAGCCACTAGAGACGCTAGCCGAAACAATCGTTGGACGCTGACAGACGGCGCGACACCGGCCAGCATTCTCTCTGCTAAGAACAGTTTCAGAACGCAGCGTTGATAAGCTGCCCGGCTGCACGGAGGCTCGTGTGCAATGACATAGACATCCATCGCGGACCTCCCGGAGTCCTGATTGTCGGTCGTTTGGGCTTTCGTCGCTACTGAATTGGATGTCAATGGTCGAACGATCCGCTCGGGTCGAACGCGGAGGTTCCCTATAATCCTTAAGTAAATGTCTCCGCCAGAAGCGGTTGGCTCAACAACCGCAGAGAGCTTGTTCAAAGCAAATGTTGGCAACAAATCGGGGTGGGATACCCAGATGGTGCGGCTCTCATTGAGCTCGCAGGAAAAAGCATCGAGGTCATCCAGATAATGGATAAACCTCTTGTAAAAGACAGGGGTCAGTACCCTGAATTCGAGCTCCGGCGCGCATTCCGGTCTGTCTTGGACAGGTGATGAGAGCATCAGCTGGGTTGTGTCCTGGACAAGACCGCTGGCGATGTACCTCACTTTGAGGGGCGTAGCAGATTGCTCGACAAGATGCTGTAAGTACCGCCTGAAGATGCCTTCCAAATGTTGCTCTGTCTTGTCCGCTTTACGGCTGATGGTGTCTTTCAGTGGCTCTGGCCTGTACCACATATGAAGTCTGTGCCGGTAGAAGAGAGAAAAGGCCTCCTTGAGGACCCGCGGAAACGCGAGAAAGCAGTCCCACCACCATGACAACAGAAATATGACCTTTTGACCCGGCGTCATGTCGCAAGGGTCAACAGCAGCGCCATCCGAAGACAATCTGGCCACCATCTTGCAGTGTCCCTTTGACGACTTCAGCTTGATCGTGATGGAGATCGCACCCCTGCCTTGCATAAAAGGGTACAGGGGATCGGACGCTGTCAGTGTGTACGAGCCCTTGCGGGAATTGAAAGGCGATACATGAAAATCTTTCGGCCATGACTGCTTTAGCACGGCCCAAGGGGAGCCGGTCTGTTCGGAGCGGCGAGTCTGCGTTGGTTCAATGTCTTGCTGGTTTGGCGAATGGTCGATAGGCTCGTCTATGTCATCCCGAGTCAAAAAGTACATTCTTCGCTCATCGAATGTGTTATTGACCTCCAGGATCATGGCAGCCAGACACTTGTCAGCATCATACAGATACCAGAACGAGACCGGGTTGTGGTGGTAGCCGAGGACACGTGCTGCCGTGACCAGATAGGCGTACGGGTACGCTGCCGGGTCGGCTTCCTGAAAAATAACTATCAGCAAACGAACAATCCGTTGATCTAGCAGGTGAGCTGGAATTACTTGTGTTCGCAGGTATTCATCCAGCTTTCCCCGCAAGCCAAGCTCGGGCTTACCACGCTCCAGGTAGTCGGCGGCATCGATGCTGAACCAAGCTCTCGGCATCCGAGGGGCGAAAGAAAGCAATGAGGAAAGGTCCGGTCCGACTCGGCCAAGGACCGAAACTAACCCTCCAGCATTCCCCTCAAATCCGACAGGGACGCCTACTGTAAGATAGGAATAGGAGAATGAATGCTTTTTTGGAAACAAACGGGTATGAGATAGCAGGCATGGAAATAGCAGGACCTTGCCTGGGCCACTCCATTGTGCTTGCTCGGCTTTTGCCAGCGTCGGCCGCACAATCTGAAAGACGATGATGAAGAAGATGATGATGACGGCGGCTGCCTTAACCCCATCTTGGGACAGAAAGCAGCCAGAAATAATAGGAAGACCCAAAAGAGCGCCAATAATGCTGTAGAACATAGCGGAATACATGGCGACGACGAGGCCGTCAGATGGGCTTGGGGTACCAGCTGACGGCCGCCGTTGAGATCCTCATATATTTGGCAGTTGAACAGGCAAATACATGGACGATGAAGGAGAAAGAGAACCACCTACCGGCGCGGTCCGCTAGCAAGTTCTATATGCTGCGGGAGACCTGCCAAGAAAGCACCTTGATGGATGGTGATGATTGAAGTCCCGGGTGCGTGCAACAGGTTTGCTGTTGCCGGACAGAAAAAGGTTCGAAATGCAAGTGCATTTTTTGTAGGGAAGCACAAAGTCGGCGAAACCGATCAGCCAATCGAGCTTTGTTAAGCCTCTGTTCCAGCCTCTGTTACCCCACAGCTCCATTGTGGCGTTGCCAAGGACGTTCGCCGCTCGAGTCACTGCCTGGGTTCGACGGCCACCCATAACATTCCGCCGACTCCATAAGTCATCGTCCCAACTGTCAGGGTACTGACTAGCCGAAACCAACCTTCAACAACGCGGCAAAACCATTCCTCTGTTTCCGCTTATAACTTTTTCTTTGCCTGCGCCTCCCGCAGTATATAACAGAGCAGGCCAAGCAATTTGCGTCGTTTCTTTCTTCTCCTTACGCCGGTTCCTTCCTTTCACCGACCAACAACGCACTCAACAGTTACGCAAGAGTCAGCCCCGCCCTGCGCTTAAATCACTCTCGAAAACACACTCCCCGCTTCAAACCCATCAAAAATCCGTCAAGATGTCTGCGTGGGATACCGCCGAGGTCAAGATCGGCAAGAATGTGCGTAGCGGTGGCGCTCCGCGCGAGACGGTTGTGCGCAGCCAGTCGGCGCTCAACGCGGCCAAGAGGTCTGGCGCTGCAATCGTCACAGAGAAGAAGTATGCCGTGGGCAACTCTGCTTCGGTACGTTTCTCGCTATCCCTTTTTGATTTCTATGACCGACAAAATACTAACATTTTAACCAGAAACCCGCCGTAGAAGGCCAGCGTCTCACCATGGTAGACCGGGCCGACGACATCGTCAAGCCCAAGACGGTCGGCATCGAGGTGGGCAAGGCGATCCAGAAGGCCCGGAACGAGTACGCCAACGCCCAAGGCGGCAAGGGCATCACGCAGAAGGAGCTCGCGACAAAGTGCAACACGACACCCACCATCGTGGCCGCCTTTGAGCGCGGCGACGCGGCGCCCGACCAAAAGGTGCTCAGCGCCATGGAGCGCGTGCTCAACGTCAAGCTGCGCGGAAGTGACATTGGCAAGCCCAAGTTTGAGAAGAAGGACAAGAAATGAGTTGGGTGATTTCTGTCAAAGGAAGACTGGGTGATGGATCTGATTCCGCGTTGATAGAGCCTGCGCTACCAAGCCAATGGGGCGTTGCCGCGTCCTGGGTGATTTGCTCTGCCCTGATACTGGACGTGGGTGGTGATGGGAGGGACTCAACAGCAGCAAGGGATAAGCTGCTGTACGATGGACGACGGTCGGGATTACGAGGGTGCGCTCTCATGGCTTTGGGTTGATTTTAGCGAGGGCTCAGGGCTCAAAGTGCATATGCTTCTGAGGTGGCGTTTGCACAACACGGGGCCGTCTCGGTCTTGCGATTAGAACTTGTTAGAAGGCAAAATAGACCTTATTCTCTCTCTCTTTGTTCTACACACTCTCCGGTTCGCAAGGCCTTCCTGCTCTGTGCTGATGCCCACGGATCTCAGGTCCTATTACAAACACAATGCTAACAATGCTCATCCCCAGCGCCACCAACTCCGGCCAGACAACCAAGCGGCAAGCGCAACACAACCTGGTTCCTCGCTCCCAATCCAATGACCAGCCCCATACCCTACTCATCGCAGACATACCCAACCGCGTACATACACACCCCTTGAACCGGCCTATTCACCCAACAAGACCTTAACCCTCTCCTCCACCTCGGCCTTGCTAGGCTGAAACGCCGGCTGGACAACGACGTTCTCCTTGCCGGCGACGGTGACGACCCGCAGCCATTGGGGGGCCACCTCGGCCGCGAGGAGCCGCACGCACGCCGCGCCGTCCTCGTGCGAGACGGGCGTCCGCGACGAGTCCCGCAGCCGCACCTGCAGCGCCGCCATGGTGAAGGCCATGCGCGCCTGTGCCGCCGTCGCCTTGCACAGCATCCCGATCACGGCCGCCACGTCCGCGGCCCGCTGCAGCGCTGCCCGCCGCTGCAGTTCCGCCGGCGTAGGCCCGCCGGTCCCCGCGGTCTGGGACTGGGATTTGAGCCGGATCCGGTCAAGTACGGATAGTTTGGGGCCGTCGCTCGGGGGGGCATTGTTGGTGGTGTTGACTGCGTTGGTTGTGTTGGTGGCCGGCGGTGAGGCTTTGGCCGTTCCCTTTTCTTGTCTCTTGAGGGCGATGCTGGTTTTCAGCTCGTCGATCGTCTGCTGATTTTTGAGGACCCTGCTGCTCTTGGCGAGTGAAGGGCAGGGCTTGACGGCTGCTTTGGGGAGAGTGGCTATGAACAGTGTGGTGCTTGCGCTCGGTTGTTCGCGACGGCTAAGCCAGAGTGTGCGCAAATTGGCTTCAAAGTCCATGTTGAGCTTGTGCTCTCGCAGAGGACCTGATTCGGCATTGGGATGGAACTCGACGCAGATCTTGCCGCGGCCGTAGTCCGAGAGGAAGAAGGGCGAGTTGAGCTGCTGTTGCTGCGCCCTGTCGCTCTTGACCGGAGTCCAACTAAGAACGCCAACCAGCCGCTGGATGTCGTCCAGTGTGACCTGCCGCTTGCCCCAGGTGCGAGTGACGCTCGAGAAGATGGTGCGCAGGTCAATCGGTGAGTTTGTGCCGAGGTGCGCATACTGCATGCTCAGCGTCTTGAGGAAGGCCGCGTGCAAATCAAGGAGATCCAGGAGCTCCAGGGGAAGATCAAAGTCATTTTTTGGAGACCTTCTGTCGACGGTGGTTTTGGTCCGCTTGCACACAGGTGACTGGAGATTCAGGCGCTCAAGCAGAACCTCAGCCTGCGTAGTGTCGTCTGCTTCAAACTGGCGCTTCCGATTGCAGGACGGGGTCGGCGCAACGCGGCTAGGTGTCAGGGGCACGTTCTCCGAGTCGGCAAACGTAACCCTCTTCTTCTTCCCGGATACAGGAGTGGCAGGTTCAGCTCGCAGGGCTCCAGGTTTGTGGCACGGCTTCTTTGAAGTGGGCTCTACGCCGGTCTCGACCTTCCTCTTTCTCGACGTGAGGACGATCTCGACGGAGGAAGTGCGGCCGGCAGCGTCCGAAGCCTTCTTGCTCGATTCCTTCCCAATCTGTAGTTTCGAGGCCGAGGCGAAGCTGTCGATAGTTGAGGCAGGTAGCTTGGAGGAGGAGGACAGTTTCCCGCGAGGGGTTCGCGTTCTGCGGGCAAGTACACCAGGCATCGTGACTGCTCTTCTTACAACTTGGCGATGAATTGGAAGTCACAAACGATGGTTTAACAGTTCCCAGAAGCAATCATACAGTTGACGAGGAAAGTACCGAGTGCCGAAGCAGGTGATGGTGCGGGTGGTTGCTAAAAAGCAAGATCATGTTATGGCAGGGGTTGACGGTCGCGACGCGCCGACGCGTTAAGTGGGTTGTGACGCGAAGCGCGTTCCTAAACGAGATGACCCCAAGCTCCACAACCACGCATTTGGCCGTCCTCTGTCATCCAATTGAACGCCAATCGCCTGGATACGGCGAGGAATCGCAGTGGATGGACTGCTAGCCAAACATCATTCACAGTACTTTGATTCCGAGGCAGTAAACTCTGACAACGCAATGCCAGTTCACCATGTTCAAGTAGTGTCTTTGAACTCCCGGTGTCAATGCCTGGATTGCAGAGCAGCTTGCAGAGGTCCATTAACACGCCAATAGGCCACATACATCTCGATGTAAAAAGCATTCGAGGGCAGTTTCAAGACTAGAGCAAGCGTTACAATTTATGAAAGCAGTTCATTCTGTATCCGACATGGCAAGTTCTGGCTCAACATGAGATCATGTAGGCATCCATGCAGTAATCAACCCTAACCCGCACCCTCGTTCCGAGATAGGATAGCGGGGCACGGCGTAGCGTGTTACGGAGGGGCTCTTTGATTGAGGCACAGCTTCCTTTGGAGCTCCAACACTTCGAGGCCTGGTCAGCCTCTCTTCATCTTCAGACAGCGTTCCAGTGCGGCCCTGAAGGTGCCATTCCAAAATTTTCTCACCACCGCTGCACGACAGAAGTTGATCATCTTAGTCAACCCATCTACCATGGCCGACCCAGAGGTAGCTGCCAAAGCTCCCGAGAGCGATGCCCAGGCGACTGCGCCTACCTCCAGCGAGACTCCCCAACCGCCCATGGGCGAGCACTGCACGTCGAACAGACCAACACCAGTTGGGCAGGCCTCAACAGGCGAGATTACCAAGCTCAATGACGTAGATGTCAGTTCCTCTGGCTGCCTCTGCCCTCCTCTCCTTGCCGCTCTCTGACATCATCCCTTTGTCCATCCAGGTCTACATCTCCAAGCCCCCCGACTACCCCCACACTCCCTCCCGCCTCCTCCTGCTCCTGACGCCCGGCACGGGGCTGCACAGCGTCAACAACCAGATCCAAGCCGACCGCTTCGCAAGCGAGGGCTACGTGGTGGTGATGCCGGACCTGTTCGCGGGGGATCCGGCGCCCAACAGCAGCACGGCGGCCGAGGTGGCGGCCGAGGCCAGCAACGAGACGCCGTCGCTGCTCGACACATTCAAGATCAAGGCGGCCGAGGCGGCCAAGTCGTTCCTGATCGACATGTGGCTGGCGCGGCACACCGAGGAGAAGGTTCTGCCCATCCTGCACCGTGTGCTCGACGCCTGCCGCGACGAGTTCGCCGACGCAATCTCCCAAGGCGGCGGCGCCTACGCAGTCGGGTACTGCTTTGGCGCCCGCTACGTGATTCTCCTCGCTGCGCAGCGGCCTGCCTCTTCCACGAGAGGAGGAGGAGGGGATGAGGAGGCTGCCAAGCCAAACACGGAAGGCCCGTATATCAAGGCTGGCGCGCTCGCGCATCCTACTTTGGTGTCCAAGGGGGACTTTGTCGGGTTGAAGGCGCCGGTCAGTGTGGTTTCGGTAGAGAATGACCCCCTGTTTCCGGATGAGGTTAGGATTGCTGGGGAGGATTATATGAGCGCGAATGGGGTTGAGCACGAGGTGCAGGTTTACCCAGGGGTACCACACGGTGAGTTATTAGCTGATCCTGGGCTGTGGAAAGAATGACTGACGACGGGATAGGATTCGCCGTTGTGGGGGAATACGAGGATCCGAACATCAAGAGTGCGCAAGCGACTGCGTTTGATCAGATGCTGAAATGGATTCAGGAGCATTGAGTGGAAGCCGGACATTCACTCTTAAGGCGTTTGGGTTGGGATGGGATTTGGCTTGTTCAAAGACTTTTTCTGCAGGCGGCAGTTGCCATACGTTGCTGTTGCGTATCACTGTTTTTCCCCTTTTCCATATCAAGCTCGTTTTTGAGGGCTGGTCGGGCAGCCCTATGAGATTGTGGATACAATCTTGCCCGTTGTCTTGTTCTGCTCAAGGAGCTTATGCGCCTGCACAATCTCTTCCCATGGCAAGACGGTATCGATCAGGATCTTCAGCTCCCCGCTGTCAAACTTGGGCAGGTACTCCTCCAAACGGTCCCTCAGCTTACCCTGGTATTCCTCATCACGACTCCTCAAGGTGCTACCCTCGACGCGCGCCCGCTTGTAGAGTAGTTTCCCGACATCCACCTTGTCGGCAACAGAACCGCCCATCAAGCCCAGTATACAGATTCGGCCATCGCGGGCTACCACGTCGAGGTTTTTCTGGAAGTAACTGCCACCGACAAAGTCGACGATGAGATCCACCCCTTTTCCATCCGTCTTCTTCAGGATCTCCTGCACCCAGTCCTGCTCCTTGTAGTTGAACGCGGCTGTGGCCCCGAGCTCGCGCTCCACAAAGGCACACTTCTCGGCCGTGCCCGCTGTAGCAAAAATGGCGCTCGCCCCGGCCTGGCGTGACAGCTGAATGCCGGCAATCGAAACGCCCGAGGCGCCGGCATGCCAAAGGATGCTCTTACCCCGGGTGATGCCCAGCACCAGGTGCAGCGCCTGGGTGGCGGTGATCCACGTCTCGGGCACGCCCGCGGCCTGCTCGAAGCTGAGGTGGGCGGGCTTGTGGAGGAGCATCTTGGTGGACACGGCAATGTACTCGGCGTAGGCGCCGCCGTAGGCCAGGCCGAACACCTCGTCGCCGAGCCGGAACGAGCCGTGGTCGCCGGGCCCAAAGGACTCGATGGTTCCGCTAAACTCAACGCCTAGCGTGCTGGGCGCTTGGGGAGGCACGGGGTAGTTCCCCTCTCGCTGGATCAGGTCCATGCGGTTCAGGCCAAAGGCTTTGACCTTGACGAGCGCCTGGCCGTTGCCCGGTTGAGGTTTGGGAGTCGCATCATTGATGAAGAGCGCGTCCGCAGGGCCTTTTCCGCCCTTGATTTCTGCATTGTACTGCGTCAGTCAGTGCAGGAGAAGGGGGGGTGAGCTAAACCAGCTTACCAACGGCTCTCATTACACCTGCCATTTTGTCCACATGCGTTTTTCAGGAGATGCCGAAGACGCTGGGAAAGCAGAATAATCTTTACAACCGACCCTGTCTCATTTGTATCAATTCAAGAGAGTCGACGGCATGCGACTCGGCATTAGCGGGGTGTGTTGAATGCGATGCATCCAATGACGTCTTTGCTGGTGCATTCGAGAAGCCGAGAAACCGAGCCTGGCCGAGTTTATATTTTTGGGAGTTTCCATGACTGCCATCTGATGAATCATGAATGATCAGTTAGATTCGTTCTTCCGGAATCCCTACGAAATGCCATGATGAGAGCAAGTCAGATAAGCCCATGGCGTTTACGTTTTCTATATGTATGTACAATCCTTCCCGTCACTGTTAGGAGCAGATTACACGATAGAACGTACATACTCGCCGGACATGGTGCGGATATAATAGGTAGGGGCTTGTGCCACGCCTTCCAGAGAAATGCATGGGACGCGAGATCACTTCATCCGCACCTTATCCAAGTTGCGGATGATAGGTTTTGTCTCTTGGGCCGTGGCTGCTCGTGTTCGTCTTCTCGGGATGGGATACAATAACAAGAGGCAGCATCATGGATGCAAATGGAAATTGATATCGTAACCAGTACGAAGTATGTCGGTCGCCACCAGTCGTCGACAACCAAAGTCCAGATATATCTGAAAGGAGCACATGCAGCTCGGATATTTGAATCTGCAGTAATACTTCGTATCGCGAACTTAAAAGGGCATGTCACCCTCTTAAGAACCTCTAATATCTCCGATTTGTACGGAGTAAGGTATGAAGGTTCGGACAATCAACGAGATCCCAATCATTGGAATCATTTTTGTGATCCTTCCGCGGTCCTTCTTAGCGGGCTGGTCAGTCAACGCCGGTTGGACAGCACACATGCCACTTCATTTCCCCATTACGGGGCGCCATCCCGGCCCATCTGCAGGTACCGTGACACCCTGGCGCCACCCATTCCGCGCCTGTCAGGTACCAGGCACGAATGTTTTCATCTTGACATTTACCTGGTACTAACGATGCCAAATGGCCAAGAGCATTATTCGGTTCTACCTCATATCGTGTTCTCATATCAACATGCATTTACGTTGATTTGAGCCGAGTTGAGCTGCATTGACACTGATTAGTGTCATGAATGAATCTGAGAAATGTCGTTAACGTTGCATCCATTGGTAAAGTTATCATGTGCTTGCATCGCTGGGCGTTCTGCTCAGATCCATTGCGACCCCTGCAAGGCTCATGGGGGAAACCAGGTGTGAGCCAGGTAATTATTCCTCCTATTCTAGGCCCCCAGCAGGCTCTTGGGCGTTCCCTGTTGGTTGTCGCGCTGTCAACACCGGTCCACACCCCCTTTTCAGCCACCCTTGCACCGCGAGCTTGATTTGATCGATTTCGGATGGACGCGTTGGAGCGGCAGCGCAGGAGGAAAATTAGCTGGGCGGCACCATTCAACATGGGATGACCCATCAGGATTGTAGCGTAGCCTTGGTAATATAAGAACAAGAGTTCCGCTCCCACACCCACGCTTGTCTTTCCTCCCTCTCTCCTCACCCACACGCTCTCTAAACAACCCTGACTTTTTAGTCAATTCCACTCGTTTTCAACGACATTCAGAGCTCTCGCGCCTCGCAGACCTTTGCAAACCCCTCCAAACGAATATACTCCTAGAGTACATATTCTTAATACCCGAACAAATCAGTCAAAATGAAGTTCACCGCTGCCGTCCTTGCCCTCGCCGCCGGCGCCTCGGCCTTCAAGAACGTGACCTACACCACCGAGGTTGTCACGGCCGTCACCACCTTCTGCCCTGTTGCCACTGAGGTTGAGGTTGGCGGCTCGACCTACACTGTCACCGAGGTACGACGACAGAGTCTCCCCACAACCGGAACGGCTGAAATGCCAACGTCCGAAATCAAAAATGATAATTCGAACGCCCTCGCTAACTTGTCACTCCCCACAGGCCACCACCCTGACCATCACCAACTGCCCGGGCGGCTGCACCGTTGTGCGCCCGATCACCACCGTCTCGTCAGTGATCTGCCACTCCTGGTGAGCGTTTTACAAGCGTCACGCAAGATCCCAGAGTAAACTAACATTTTTGTTTCAAGCACCAGTGCCCCGGTCTACAGCAACACCACCACGGGCGCCCCCGTGCCCCCTAAGCCCACCCTCACCTCGTCGGTCGGCACCGTCTCCCAGCCCGCCCCGACCAAGTCCGCGCTCCCCACCGCCGGTGCCGGCAAGGCTGCTGCCCTCTCTGGCGGCGCCCTCGCTGGTCTCCTTGGCCTGGCTGCTTTCGCTCTCTAAATTCCCACGTCCCGTCTGTCGGCTCGTAATGTTTAATTCCGCGTCATGATGGGATTATGGGAGGGTGTGCGAGGGTAGTGTTGTGGAGGATTGGTGGAAGTGTTGGATGGCCTTGACTGCTTCTTTGGTAGTAAGGTTTGGGTTCGCAGAGTCCCTGCTCCGGAGGCGGACAGGTATTCATGCAATCGTTTGACTTTGGGGATTTCGTGAGGAGGATTTCAGTTCCTATGCTCATGTATGGGAATTGTTTCTCTTGCATGGCCTCGGGGTTCTTTTCGAATCGGAAGTGTTCATAGGACAAATATTAACGCTTTCAATTCGCCTTCATTCCTCGCTCGCACGATGATCTCTCATTCTCAATAATGTTGACACTTGAATGCTGTTAATGCTCCAGTTGGGACTTGGTATGGTGAACCTCAGTCACATCCCCCATACCGCATTATCTCGCGACATAGGAAAATTGCTTGTGGGGCTGACAGTAGCCATGGAGCCAATTGAAGCATTGCTATTCGACGACTCTGCGGTATTCTTGGTCCAAGCTTAAACTTCAAGAAGCTTCAATTGGTCCCAGGGCTACTGTCAGACCCATAAGCATTTTTCCTATGTGGCGAGATAATGCGGTACTATGATGTGTCTGCCCTCTGCTCTACCCAAGACATGGAATTGTACGGAGTATTTCAACCCTTTCTCCCCGGTTTTTGATGGCATAAATACAACAGAAAGGCAGCATATTCTCATCGATTGATGATCATAGTTCCGTTCAATACTCTCGACCTGGTTACTGAAGGCACCGCGAGCGCCAAGGTTCCCAGCGGCCTGGCTATACTACACACTTCGTCCAGCGGTGTCACTTCTACAAGCGCCCACGCGCAGTTCACCACGCCTCATGTCCTTTCCCCTATTTTAACTACCGTCCTTCGTATGAGGTTACGCTTATCTCTCCTACGGACCGGAAGCCTTCCCGGCAAGGTTAACATTAATGCAGGATGCGCGGTGTGATTGTAACCCAATTCCGACGCGACCACGCGCAAGATTGCCACACTCGAACAGCTCTTCGCTGATAAAATTGTGTGGGTGCATTCGTCCAAAAAGCGCCGATAGTTTAGCAGCGCTAATTACTGCAAGGTACGAGTGTGCCATGCGCCGCCGGGCGATATGCAAGCGAGATTTGGGATCAAAGATCCATGCACGCGTTGTTGAGGGGAGGTGAGGTCTGGCCTTCCAGGGGTTTTAAACACTTCTCGGCGTTGTTCTCGGCGCCAAGGGCATTTGTTTGTCCCACGGAGGATTTCACGGCCGAGAAGGATCGAGTTTGGGCCCAGTTGCCCGGAGTTCGTCATCCGTGTGCGTGCCTGCGAGAGCGTCTGATTTTTTTGACCATGAGTGCCCGATCAGAGGCTCTTATTAAGTATTAACAACTGTTTGTTGCCTCCCAAAGTAATATGTATTGTGCACGAGTTGCGAATTTTCCTTCATAACCTACGCGTGCCTCTCTGCCTACAATGACTTGTCAGGTAGGCTTCATGGGACATCGTTTCTTATTTATTTCGCGCCCTCTTTCCGGTATGATGTGGTATCCACAGGCTGCCTCTCCCCATGGGGAAGGAACGTGGGGAAGCGGATCTTGCAACTTTAACGTTAGGATTTCTGCCAAAGAAGCACTTTTGCTGCTTGATGATCATGGATTCCATGTCTCCATCCCAAGCTCCCGTCTTAGCGCTTCTATGGACTTTCGCCTGAGTGAAAGAACGATACAGAGCCCCGGTTCCGTATTTGTACGGAGTATGTACGATACAGAAACCCAGGTCGCCAAATGGCCAGTTGCTTTTCCCGCGCCGATCCCCCGTAGCCGGACCAGCCCGAACATGTCGGGGTAACGGAATGCGGGGACAAACGGCTTCGGCGACAAGGCCGAGGATGCACAGTACTGCTCATCTGTACGACAAATGTGAGCAAGGGTTCGGAGACTTATAGATGAAAACCCAGTGAAAGATTTCAACACAACACCAAGTCCGCTAGTCGAATACTCGGTCCTTCGGCCACCGTCCCACAACCGAAACTCTTTAGAGTTCCCTGTACATTACATGATTTAGGTATGGGCCACCCACAGGACCAGGTCCAACACTACTCCCTCACAGATCCCGAAGGGTTCTGGGGCCACCAGGCGGAGCAATTGCACTGGCACAAGAAGCCGTCGGCGGTGCTCGCGCGGACAAGCAAGAAGCTCAAGAGCGGTGTCTCGCATGACCATTGGGCATGGTTTCCCGACGGCGAGATATCAACATGCTACAACTGCGTTGATCGCCATGTGCTCGCCGGCCGCGGCGATGCCCCTGCCATTCTCTACGACAGCCCCGTCACCAACACCAAGCAGCGCATCACGTACAAGCAGCTGCTGGACGAGGTTGAGGTCTTTGCTGCTGCCCTGCGGCAAGAGGGCGTCAAGAAGGGGGATGTCGTGCTTGTCTACAGTAAGCCTTCAGTTGCCCATCTGCCATCAATAGCAAGTAAAGATCTAGTTGCTGACAACGCCCAGTGCCCATGATCCCCGCCGCCTTGATCGGCATCTTGGCGGTCAACCGTCTTGGCGCCATTCATGCCGTCGTCTTTGGAGGTTTTGCCTCCGGTGCCCTAGCTCAACGGATCGAAGCGTCACGTCCTGTAGCCATCCTCACGGCATCGTGCGGGATCGAGGGCACCAAGGCGCCCGTCAGCTACCGCGGCTTTGTGGAAGAGGCCATCCGCATCTCATCCTGGAAGCCACCCCGGACCATCATCTGGTCGGTATCCTTACCACCTTTTCTTTGGCAGTCGTACGTTGCGGACATTGGCGTGACTGACAAAGAAATAGGCAGCGCGACCAACTACTCTGGAGACCCACCCTCAAGACAGAGGGCCAGAGGAAGTGGCAGCACCTCGTCAAGAGCGTCCGGGCTCGCGGCTTCAGGGCCGAGTGCGTGCCCGTCAAGTCGACAGACCCCATCTACATCATCTACACCAGCGGCACAACCGGCCTACCAAAGGGCGTGCTGAGAGAGTCGGGCGGCCATGCGGTTGGTCTGCACATGTCAATCTCCTACCTCTTTGGTATTCATGGGCCAGGCGACGTGGTGAGTTGACACCTTGCCCGGCGCTGTTGTTAATCCTGCTCGACTGATAGAACAGTGCAGATGGGCTGCTTTAGCGACATTGGCTGGGTCGTCTCGCACAGCTACACGCTCTACGGGCCTCTCCTCGCCGGCGCAGCCACTGTGCTTTACGAAGGCAAGCCCGTCGGTACCCCGGACGCATCCGCCTTTTGGCGTCTCGTGGAGGAATACAAGATCAACAGCATGTTTACCGCGCCAACCGCGCTGCGGGCAATTCGAAAGGACGACCCGGATAACTCGCATCTTACCCGCATAGGAGAGCGCGGTGGTTTGAGGAGCCTCAGGGCCTTGTTCCTCGCCGGTGAGCGGTCCGAACCGGCCATCATCACCATGTACCAAGATCTGCTGGGTAAATATGGTGCAAAGAACGGCTGTCATGTTGTGGATAACTGGTGGTCGTCGGAATCCGGCTCGCCTATTTCTGGCATTGCCATGGTGCCGCACGCTGGTAAGGATAGAAGAACGGCCGTGAGAGACCACCCGCCATTGCCTATCAAGCCTGGCAGTGCTGGAAAGGCCATGCCGGGGTTTGACGTGAGGTGAGTATATTCAGGGCCTTTTGTCCCCGTCAAGTTCAACGCTGATGTGATCGGCCAGGGTTGTTGACGACGAGGGCAACGAACTCCCCCGCGGTAAGATGGGCAACATTGTGTTAGCCCTCCCGCTGGCGCCCACCGCATTTCGCACATTATGGGAAGACGAAGAGAGGTTCTACAAAGGCTACCTCAAGCGCTTTGGCGGTAGGTGGCTAGATACCGGCGATGCCGGCTGGATCGATGAGAACGGCTACATCCACATCATGGCGCGGTCAGGTAAATCCCCCGCCCCCTTTTTGCCCCCCTTTGTAATGCATAAAACAAGCTAACATAACCCCAGACGACATAATCAACGTCGCCGCCCACCGTCTCAGCACGGGCACCCTCGAGCAGGCCATCACCTCACACCCTCTGGTAACAGAAGCCAGCGTAGTCGGCATGCCCGACGCGCTCAAGGGCCACCTGCCCTTTGCCTTTATCACCACTACCGCCACCACCACGCCGATCCCGGACGACGAGAAGCTCTTCTCGGAAATCCAGAGCCTCGTCCGCTCCCAGGTCGGCCCCATCGCCAGCCTGGGCGGCATGATTCGGGGCAGGGGGATGATTCCCAAGACCAGGTCGGGGAAGACGCTGAGAAGAGTGCTCCGCGAGCTGATTGAGAATGCGGTGCAGGGAGAGTTCGACAAGCCTGTTAGTGTGCCGTCGACGGTGGAGGATGCTGGTGTGGTTGACGTGGCGAGGCGGAAGGTGAGGGAGTACTTTGAGAAGAGGAGGAACGGTGGGGTGGCTGGTGGAGGACACCGGGATGTTGAGGCGAAGGCGAAGCTGTGATTAGGGGGTGGTTCAAGTTGTGCGTGCTAGGGGTGTTGGAGTTGGAGTTGTTCCTCTTTCCTCGTCTAAAGCATCTTTGAAGGGTTGCTTGAAGAGCCAAAGGACAACATGGGGTGACCATGGAAAGCTACCTATCCTGGGTTCTTCTGACTAAGCCTACTACTAGGTGTGGCGGTTTCGTTTTGTTTGTCTGTTGTCATAATGTCAACAAAGCTAATACCAGTAGACAGCTAGGTGTAAGTTGATCGCGACCTCAGGCCGGCGGCGAATTACTCTCTTGGTTTGTCCAGACCTAGCAAGGAGACTTGAACCGCGTTGATGGGTTGTTGTTGTCATTTCAACGCCATAAACTAAAAAAAAAATAACTGTTGCCCCTGGCTTTGCATCGGACCCCGAGTATGCTCGCATTCCAAGCTGGAAGACAGAAGATAATCGGCACATTCTTCTCAATCACTAAGAATGGGCCGCGACGGTTTGGTATCCCATAAGTTCTCTCGAGAATACTCTTCCTTATTTCTCCCACCATGCACTCCAGGAAGCTCAGCGCAAGTGCTCAGCTCTATTGGAGGATCCCCCCTCGTCTCCTTTCTCTTCAATCTACTAATACCACTCTCCCTCTACCACCCGGAAGATACTCCGTGGTGAAACGGCCAACAACGAAAACAGCTCAGTTACCCAGACCTCGCTTGAGTTCATTATCAATAGGTACTTTATCTATAGTACATCGTCAACTTGCAATAAAGTCCCAGCATCTTTTGCCTTCTCGTCTCGAGTTGTCTCCTAGTCCGCAGGCCTTCCGGGCAATATGGACAAGCTAAGGTACCTAGTCTGCCTTGTCAACATCATGTGTCAATTTCCCTTATTTCCAGGGTCATCCATCATCTACATCTTGGGATTGAGGTGGCCAGAGGTGTCGCTCTGTTACCGTGAGTTTGTCTCTCGTAACGACCGGAGAGTAGGGCCAATCGGGTGGGGCAGTAGCGATGCTATTCGCAAGCCCAAGGGGGGAAGAAAGTATGGATTGGCCGCCCAGACAATGTCTGTCTGTGTATAGTTGGCACCGACGTCGGATCGCACCCCAGGCTTACTCGGTACACAATAGGAGTCGGAGCACCATCCGCCCCAGGCAGGCGCCAGCGTGAGCTGTCATTTCTTCCGCTGGTGATCTAGTAGTGAATGATTTATGGTGAAGAAGGCTGTGACAGCCAGGCTCAAGTGACTGGGTCTTAGCCCCTATTTTGTTGATTGTTCCCAAGCTCTGGCTGGGTAAACTAAAAGAAGTTAAAGAACATATGAACGCTTTGAGTACATGTAGGTAGGTATTGCTGATAACCGGAAGATGAAGCGAGGTATCATCAAGTATTCGGGCGATAACGCTCCGGCACTTACCTCCTGCTCTAACCCTGAAGGTGATGTGGTGATGTCGGGTTAGATCATGAACTGCATAAGAGACGGGGACCTAAATACATACATGTATGTACAGTACTAGTACATACCACCGACAACGGAAAATCCACATATAAATCAGATTTTGCAGTGGTATCTGCCACATACGACCATACCTACTGGAAAGCTCGGGATCCCGTCCGCTCTCCCCTAGATAAACCAGTAAGGGCCAGATTAGTAGTTGGGTCGGTGACGACCAGCGAATCCCTGGTGTTGTATGTTTTTTTATTTTTTTGTTCTTCATTCTTTCTTCCTTTCACGTTTCTATTAATCCTTTTGCTTCCTTCTACCCCCTCGAGTCGCTGGTAAGCATCAAGCGAATGTTGCAGGTATGTGATACTTCTGGGCTTAGCCCAGCAACTCCAGGTCATGTACGAAGTAAAAGGTACTGTACCTTTGGCTGATCACCCAACCCTTGGAACAGTGAGTCGGGTTCCTTCGCTCGGTATCCCATCTCACAACTAAACTTCACTAGTAAACGACAACCTTCCTCTAGGCCAAACACCGCAGACACGTAGCACGGCCGGGCGCCATCATCCCAGCCTCGAGTCGAAGCAGCACGGCCTCGTGAGCGCAGTAGGACAGTTACTTAGACCTTGCCCAGGCAGGCCGTACTGATCGTCTTCCCGACAGGTCTCCATCTCCCCAATCTTCGGATGGCACAATTCCCAATCAAAGATCGTTGCTGGGGGAGATGCCGGGGAGAAGGAAATCCGATGTGTCTCTTCGGTGGCACAAAACTTACACAAAACGACCGCCATTCCTGGGAGTAAGGCGGCGCACTACACTCCGCACTTTTGCACACGACCTGCTGGTGTGACGCAGTTCGACAAAGATTAGATTGGGAAGAGGCAAGCAGCAATTGCTGGCCCGGTCGATCCTCACCTAACCTACGCCGCTCTGGATGGAACCACCGGAACCACGCCCTTGTCCCGTGGGTCACAAGCAGAACCAGACAGAGAATAGAAGGGACTCACCGAGTTCCATCACGAGCCTTGGCGGTTGTTTATGTCTAACTCACTTTCCGGCCTCCCCCCAGCTCGCTGACTAGCTTGCTCGTAGCACAATATATATGACTGTGTTTGAGATACCAAGCCAAGGCCGCAAGGGATTGGCGGCTCGGGGGGCTTCTAGCCCTATCCTCGGTAGTCTGTACATGTATTGTGCAACTATTGAGTATCGACTACATGTATCCAGCCTCCGCGGCACCCGGGTGCGGGTAGAATAGGTGTTGAGGCTCGGACTAAGGGAGTTGAGGAACGAGACCTTGAAGCCGCGGGGAAGCGGGGCGACGATAACCATTGTGTTGAACGACAAGAGCACAAAATCATCTAGATGCTGCAGTGCGGGTGTAAATGGCGCTAGGAGGAAGTGAGAACTGAGCGCCGGGATAGATTGTGGGTGGCGAGTGGTGGGTTACGAGAATTGTCCGACGCAACTGATGATAGTCTACAGGTCCAAGCAACTACGACGATCTGGGATCATCGGGGCATGGGCCTTGAGTAACTTGCACAGCGTTCTAGACGAACACAGTCTTCCCAGGGTCCAGACACGAAGAAATCTACCGGAACCAGGGAGGTTGCGCGAAAACCGTCGGCTGAGACGACCAGAGGTGCGCACAACCAATCTTCGCTGGCCACCTCTCTTGTCTTTGGGCGTGAGGAACAGCGTACGCCCATGCGGGGACAGTAACAGCAAGGCTTGACCAACGTGCCGGTTGCCTCGAGGTCCTCTAGCCGCTTTCTCTTGTGGAAAGCATGGCGATGGCGTCCCACATCGGCGGGGGTCTAGGATTACAAGGCTTCCCGGGGAAGAAAGATTGAAGTCCGAGGTAAACAAAGGCTCAGCCAACCGATGGGTCAGAAAACTGGGTATCTTGGATCCAGAAAATCACAATCATGCAAGCCATCTCCGGCGCCAATTCCCCTGCCCAACCTTCCAAATGCAAGACGCAAATGCAGATGCAACCTCACGACGCCGGATCCCGTGTAGCGAGCCGTTGCAAAGTGTGACGTGAGCCCTTCAACGCCTATCCAGACAACCGCCCAATGCATGACAATATATCGTGCAGGTAAACGTGGCCATCGCAAACAATACAGGCCCCAACCCCCAATCCAGCGGGCCGCGTGCCACACGACCACAAGATGGGAGAAAAAAAGAAAGGAAACCAGGCAGCATAGTACCTAGAACGAGGACGGACAAGCAACAACGCAAGCGGTGTGTCAGCTTCCCGAAGGGCCAGCAGCAGGCCGCTGCGTGCTCCCGTTGGCCTTCGAGAAGGCTCCGAGAACACTCTGCTGGCGCTGAGCGGCGATTTTGAGCTGGGCGAACCTTGCTTCGGGAAGCCGCTTGCCGGCTTTGACGCTCTCCAGCACCCTGGGTCCGCGCATTGTGGTTAGCAGGGTGAGCCAGCCGGTTTCTGCACAGTATCCGTCTACGGTCTGAGAAACGATAACGAGAGTTGCCAGCAAAAAAGGCGTGTGAGTGAAAAGGCGGGAGAAGAGGACGAGGGCAACGGGGTTGCAAAATCCCAAAACTTACCACTCTACACCCACAGACTTGATGCCACACCCGCCAACTCGGCGTATCTCCTTCTGGAGCTTGCCGCCGGCTAACCCCCCGCCGGCGCCACCGTTCGGGCCGGACGGCTTCCCCAGGATGACATGGGTGACCTGACGGCGGCCCAGATGGAGCGACATGCGGGCGCCGTGCTCCGAGAGCAGGTGCTTGAGCTTGTGGTCCGAGACGAGCGGATGGGTGCTGCCGTTGACGTAGACCACGAGGCCATCAAAGATCCTGGACTGTTGTTGTTGTTGCTGTTGCACTTGTCTTTGGCTCGTCCTCCCATCGTCACCAACTTCGTATCCCCTATCTGCGAGCTCAGAGTTCCCAGCATCGCCGCCATCTTCCCCGTTCCCCTCCCCCGCAACATCATTCCCAGACCCACCCAAAGTGGAAGACGACAAGGGCGCGTTTTTGGTGGTGCGCCGCATGCTCCCCGGGTTGCGCAGCATGTCGGCGACGCTCTTTGCAGCGCGGGCACGCAGCTCCTTGGGCACGAGCATCCCCAGGCGCTCGTCAAAGTCGTCGGACCCGGCGCCCACTGTGTCTGGGATGCGCTGGCCGCCCGCGTTGCCCGCTCGGAACTGGCCATTCATCTTCAGGTTGCGCGACTCGCGCCATCCCTGTGGCCCGCGCGTCTCGGCGCGCTGGTGCCCGGCCGAGACGGAATTCCACGGGTCGAAATTGCGACCGAACTGTGGTTCTGCCGGAGGGGGCAGGTCTTTTCTTGGGTTCGGAGGCATCCAGGGAATTCAAGTAGGGATGACCGTATTATTAAAATTGCATAAGGTAGCTCTTAGAAATCAGAATTCAGCTGTAGCGTTGTTAATATCATTAGAGATATCGTATCTGGGAAACCATAAAGCAAAGCCAACAAACGCAAACAGAAAGAACGGGTGGGTTGAACCTGACTCGCGCCACCCAGCCGCGTCGCCACCGAGCAACCACGGCAGCAACTGCCTGTAGGTCCACGCGAAGTCACATGCTCGAATCGCAACAAAACCTGCATCAAATTCTGCCCGAACTCGAGCTCCAAAATGATGGTGGGCACAACCATTTTCCCTCCTCATTGTAGAGTTGCAAAGAGGGTCCCAACAGCCAAACAATATCCCTCATCCCGTCGTGGCCCTCCCAGATGGGATCTGTTTTGCCTAGCCTAGAAAAAGTCTTACTTCCTTGGACAGGAAACACCGCAGTTCCCTCAAGCTTGGAACCTAACCCCAACCACCTTCCAGCCAACAGGGCATCCATCGTCTCATCAATCATTGACTTAGAGGACTGAATGTTGATAACAACTTTTCGGAATTAGGGGGCTGGTTTGGGGCCGTTCTTGTCACACACGCTTTTGATCCCTTGATTGAGTCGATTCCTTTCAAACAAACGCCACATTGCCAAGACCATCTCTGGAGCCCTTTTCGGGTGGCCTTTGTCAAGCGAAAGAAAGTTGGAAGTTGGCCCTAGCTAAACAACCTTCCTCCTCCCTTCTAGGGTCCTCTTTGCGAGGTTTGCGGCTACAAAACTAACTCAACAGAATCGAGCCGCTGCCTCCACTTGTATGTATGTACTGTACATTTCACACCAGATACCCTAGCGGGAGCGTCACAGGTATCCACTGGATCTAACAAGGGTAAGGGGTAATGATATGATCTGCCATCTTGCATCTGTCTGCAATGCACAGTGTGCGACGATCACTGTCGAGATGCGTAAAACAACAGGAAGGCATTCCGAGTTTTGCTACTTTACATAACAAAGTATCCGTGATTTAGTTGATTTTGGTTAGAGTACGGAGTACTGTATATTCTAGTTTATGGCATTTCGCACTTCATTTCCCGTTTCCGTCACACCCTCCATAACAGCCATGACCACAAAACTCCCTGCACAATTCTCTCTGCTATACTTCGTAACCAGGTGGTTTGTACTTCGAAAACGCAGGTATATGTCCGTACTATAGGTACTCCGTAGTCTACACTACACTATACCCGCCAGCGCCACGCGTTCACGCATCTACCACACCGCAGCGTGTTTGTTACCTTATGCATCTAGGAATACCGGCATGGCATAAGAATGAGTCGACATGCATACATCTAACCCTGAAATTCTCACAGTACTTGTACTTAATGTATGTATGGTCGATCTCGATCCCTTGAAGACAATGCAAGCTTAGGAACGGGAATTACCGTAATATCCCTTTGACTTAGGTACTGTACCTACCGTACTGTATGTACTCGTTTGTAATGTATGTATGTATGTACAGTACTGTATGTACATACATACATCCGCCGGCCTTGCAGCCAGCCACAGCGGTTCATGCACAACCTATCGCGCTGCCGATATGGGAGAAATATACGGAGTATTATTGCCAGGAGATTTCATGTTCGAAGATCCGGGAAACAGTATGTTATGGTAGCTTGGCAATAATATCCAAAGTTCAATCCGTCTATTAAAACTTTGATTCCCTTACTCCGGCTTGGTTCCAGTGTATCTTCGTACTAACTGAAGCATTTCTCCTTTGTACTGTACAGTACTTGTACCCTTACTTCAAAGTAACTTGACCTAGCCTACCCTCTCAGCAACGGGTCGAGTGTGTCTATCATTGCATCCGAGGCTCGGGGCCGGCCTTGAGTTCTTTCTCTTTGATCCCCTGCCTCATTGTCCAGCACAATAAACTACTGCCCCTGTGCCTGTCCTTGCTGCGCAGTAATTCCCGCCCGGCCATCGACCATGGCCATAGTGTTGTCACTCCCCCCGCCGAGGATACCAATATGTATTGTACCACAGTTACACCAGACAGACACTTCAGCTCTGGCCTCTAGGGTCACATACGTACACTATTTACCTCGACCTTTATAATGTTATCACGGCAGCAAGCTCAGCTTGGTGAGATAGATGGCACGGCAGGAGCGTAAGAAATTCCTATGGTAACAAACCAATTCATGTGTTTGTTGGCTCACATCCCACCTAGGTATCCGAGGTGGATTTATTGGAAGCAAGAATCCCACCCTATGTGGCAATGAGGGTTTGAGGGTGGTCATCAGCACGCGGGGCCAATGGCGCTGACAAAATACAATGTCCCCCTGGTTTGTTCGTTAGCGTGGTACATAGGGTGGATCTGAACGAGGCGACGAAGCCAATCAATTCAATTGCAGAGAACCTAGCGAGTGACAGCAGACTACACAGAGGAACCCAAGATCCTATACAATTTGGGTGGGTAGAAGAGTCTCAATTAGTACCCAGTGTATCCTCCTTCGTTCTGAATTACGGCTTCCAGCCGACGAAGCATCGAGCGGACTGATTGGTTTGACGCGCGAATTCGTCGATTTGAAGCCCTGGTGATAGCTGTTTTGGCGCCCTGTTAATTCGAGCGATCTTTGCAACGTTGAGAAATATAAGAGGAATCGTCGGCTCGAAAGGTCGAAGAAAGAGGAAAAGTCGAAGCCTAGGTAGAAGCCAGGGTGGGAAGTCGACGGTTATGTAAGCGCAAAAAATGGGGTAGTTTGCTAGATGCGTGCAGTTCGATTGGCCGAAGCCTGTGTATCTCTGGGCTGTGGTTGGTTAGAAAAAGCGGGGCAAGTTCCGAGCTAACGAACAAACCAGCATTGAATTGTAATGCCAGGGGCCGGGGTTGTATCGAGCAGAGGGGCTTGAGAAGCTAGGGCCAGTTACAGGCACCGGCTCCTTGCAGGCTCGGATCCGGTAGAGCAAGGCCCAGGGAGCCTGGCTGAAGCCGGAAAGCTCTCGTGATAACCGCCGCGGGAAGGAGCGGGAGTGATGAAAAAGGAACGTGGAGAGACTGATGAAAGTGATCTCTTGATCTTCGTGCATTCAGCGATCTGCTTGTTCTATTTCGGATAAACGCCCCTTTTTCATGATTTTCTTCTCCGGCGGCGCTTGAGCGATTGCGCCTAATACCGCGGGCTTGCGGCGGCACTGGCTGAGCTACGCTTAAAATCGATCCCAGATAAGGCACCTCAGGCTGTTGATTCCATGGTAAGTTTCTGTATGGACAATACAGTGCCTGAATCTAGCACCGCCAATTCCATACATACCGAGGTACGAACAGTTATAAGCGAAATAGAGGGCGAGAAGGAGCGGGAATTTCGAAGCATCAATGGTTTGTTGTTTCACCAGGCAAGTCGTCAATGGCTCTCAGGAGAAACTGCCCGGTAAGTGTCATCCAATATCTTGATGTGGGTTACACGGGGCCAGGTGTCAAGCTGGAAAGCCTGACAGCGGCCATGCGAATCATACTTGCCTTGCGTCCGGTTGTGTAGCCGCTCAAGCTGGGCATCGTGGTGCGTCTTGCATTTCCATCCGAACCAGAGGAGAGGGGAGAGAGACACGTGCTGGTGGTCCCTTCGTACTGCCATGGTCCTGAACATCTTGCTCTTGGTTTGCTTCTCAGGCTTCATTCAAGAAGTCTGACAAGACGAGGTAGGCGGGGCCGATGCACGTAGGTTCTACACAGTAGTGCAATCAATACTTTGCCGAGCGTCTCGATGTAAGCTTGAGCGATCGAAGATCTCGGACCCTGCTGCAAGCGGCATCTGGAAGCCCTGCCGGAACCCTTTCCCAATCCCATGCAGCGCAGCGCATGCGGCACCTTGATCTGATGGACCGGGATTCTGCTTGATCTGCTTCAACAAAGTGGCGGCAGCGAAGCGGGGCACCACAGAAACATGCCGTTTGGAACTAACCACCCGACCTTGCGAATTTACAATGGATTGCATGCCACGAGCAGCCTAGTGCCCGTTTCTCCGCGAAAGAGAGACAGCTTGCTGGCGGCTAGGCGTTCCCATCCATACACTGCGGGTTTGCATGCAACCTGCGTGCTCATATAGGTTAGTGTAGGACAGCGCATCAGGAGGGTACAGTACACTACCTAGTGTATGTATATCCTCCCACATAACAGTCCTGACGGCACTAACGCAACTCTCCCGGAGCCGCCGGGGATGGCGTGGTGGCAGAGCCGAGTCTCCTCTCAAGCGCGGCCACGACAGAGCAGGAGGCTAGGCGGGAAGGGACGCTGTCAGCCCGCACTGACGCCATGACCATTCAGCAGCTGCCGTGCTTCACCAGAAGGTCAACCCCCAACGCCGCGGTTTCATCCGGAAGGGCTGTTGGCTCTTTGGGGGAGCCAATACCCAGCCTGGCATTGGGAGAATTCTGCCCATAGATTTTCATGCAATTGTTTTTTCGAGTCTCGCAATCTCTGGCCTTTCATTCGTCCTCATTTTCGATGACGCGTGGGTGGCAGGCTCTAGAATCTAGAAGCCAATCCCTCATCAACGCGGGAGGCAAAAGTGAGAAGTTGGAAGTTGCCGAGCCGAGACACAATCTGATGAGAGCGTCCATCCGTAACAACACTTACCCCCAATCCTGGTTCCTACACTGTATCCAGACTGCCAGAGTCTTGGAAAAGCTGAGGGTACCAAGGGCGGGGATGTTAGGAAAAAGAGCTCAATTTGATAAGCTCAGGCCGTGCTTGTTTTAGCAAAGCTGTTGCTGTAAATATTTCATGTCGACCGGCACGCCGAAGAGCGCCAGAACCCGAAGACGGCTCCCGTTGACGATGGCGGGGCCGCAAGCCGCAAGATCAATTCGAGGGCAAACCATGGTTGGAGCAATGAGAGGACTTAAGGGAAGAAACTTTGGCCGTATATCATTGGTCCATCTTTTAGGGTCGCCGAAGCTAGCGCCTTATCCTCAACAGAGGAGTCGATTTAGCAAGTTGAGAGTAGCGGTGTGAGCCGCTGTGGATGTGCACAGTGTGAGCCGGGTTCTCCGGGGGATGTACCCGTGGACAAACTTCGGTTTGCTGAATGGACTTCACCTTTAATGCAACTAGAAACTCTACAATAACGGAACTGATATCAAATCTTAGTTGTCAGGATGCATTGAGATCAAGGCGCACTTGGCCAATATGCCGCATAGATATGCGGCTCAAGCAATTTCTAAAGCTTGGGTCACGTCTACGGAGTAAGTTGATGGAAACTTGGGAGTTGGGACAACCTGAAGAGAGATGGTAGGTCTATCACCAATGCCCGCGTCGATACCGGCAAACGGTGTACTGTACAGTACATACCTTACCGAGCTTACATACACCCTGACTACCTAGGTACCTAGTAGACTAGGCAGCTTGGTACATACAAAGTACCTCACTTACTGAAACGGGAAAAGAAACAAGAACATCGTCAATTCAAGCCACTGATCTTTACTTAAGGTATCTACCTGGTACACTAGGGGACGACACCCGTCACTCTTAGTAAAGCCACGATCGTATTAGTTGTGGGTTCGCCAGAATGTCTGAAAAAGCTATCATCCTTAGATATTTCGTACATACCTGAAGTTGCAGTTGGTTAACAGGGGAACGTCATCATTCGTAGTATAGTGTAGTGCTGTAAGATACCAATACACTCATTGTATGTAAGGTGTATTCAAGTTATCGATTAGTAAAACCCTCCAATTGAAGCCACCCGCCTTGAGGGATTCAGCGCACTGTGGACAAGGTGGCCTTGTGGATACGTTCATTACCTGTGCCACTCGCACACTTTCATCCTGGCTGCCATGTAAGGCGGAAAACGGTCCGCGCATGCAGCTCTTCTCTGGCGAATAGGAACCGCAAGCAGAGGGTGTGAGAAGAGTTGCGGTGCCCTATGATTTGCATAATCCGGTCTCCGTCCCGAGAGTTGAGGAGGGAACTAGGGCTGAGGCACGATGCACAAGTATGCGCTAATGTACCAAAGGACGGAGACGCAGACGACAATGGAACGAGGAACAAAAGAGAGACGAAGAAAACCGCGACTGCTTTCTTGCACCATTCAACAAGGATGTGATAATTGCAAGCTGCGCATGCTCTTACGAGAAAAGCTGGGACGGGATAGGAGCTGCCCTGCCTCTCAGAACTTTCCTACTGTGGGTGTGGGCTTGGAGACGTGGTTCGCGTTGATTGGATTGATTGAGGCCTCGTTTCGTACCACATCCCACTAGAAGCTGGCGCGGGACGAAGCCAAACCCGAACCGAATGGTGGATGTAGGGTACTAGGTTACTGGACAGTACTTCTCTTCTCTAGCGTACTGTATGTATCTCTATCGAAACACCCGTCTAATTGAACCCCAGCTTCCAGGTTCCGTTGATATTGCGGCAACAATTGCAGGTGGCTCTCGGTCCCGGTTTGGCGTGTTCGCAAGACGGCCTCGGATTAGGTAAAGGACGGCCCGTGAGCCTGTCAAAGGGTTGTTCGCCGACGTTACTGTGTAGGGAGCGGATTTACCATTATTCGGAACTACGAATCCTTGAGGTGACTGTGTACGAAGCACCGTTATCTGGACAGGCTGTCAGACCCCCGGTTACAGACACCGTGCCGTTGATAGCGAACGAGCGGAAACCATTGACATGTTCCGTGCTGTAACTGATGTCTTGTCAGGCAACCGTCGTGACCCTGATGATGACCTCGGAAATGGCGGAAAATTGCAAATTTCGTCAACAGACTCAACACCTGTCGAATCAATCCACCGGGCCGGGAAAAAGCGCCGATGAAAGTCGCATTCACAGTGCCCGTCCAGACCATCTTACGCTCAGGCTGAGGTACCAAAAGCAAACAGCTGAAACGCAGCGACACCCTCCGCAGAGCGCCATTTCGCGCGAGCTGCTCAACCGAATGGGCGATGATTGGCTGGAGGCAGATTTAAACATGGGAAGCACAAGCATCTAACCGCCGTGCATTGGCCCGCATGCAAGTGTTTATCGAAATCTTTGGGGGATCTGGAATCCCTGTAGTTAAACGTTAGCGTAGTGTAATTGACACTACGGAGAAATGTACAATACCCGACATGATGCTCATGCTTCTGAGAAGCTCCAACTCCGTCATCTGTCCACTCCAGTCAGCTCCCTAGCCAAAGGACGGTGATCGGAGTGCTTGGTCTTGACCACGGCATTTATTAGAAGGGTCGCCCGGTACCAATACCCCTGGCGAAATACAAGAGATAGCTGCGAGTTGTCTGGACCGCCCATTCATCAGGAGAGAAGGTTACAATCTGATCACCTCTGCAGCGTATCTCGGCTTGTCTGGAGCACATCGAAGCCACAGCGTTTTATCAAGTCATCTCATCAGAAGAGGTTTGGGCGGCTGGGCGCGCCATTTTCCAAGCGGCGGTGAAGCAATGGCATATATCAGAAGCTCACCCTCTCATTGCGGCACAGCTGTGTTTGTGTCCACGAGCTTAGAGAGTACGCTCACTCCTAACGTAGTGTTCGTAGGTTACACAGTCCATCCTCGGGATGTTATATGGGACCGAAATCCATTCGCTGCGCCGCATATTTCTCCTTGGCGTCGCGACTTGTTTGAAGCTGTACTCCGTACATAGCATTGTGAATCTCCCTTGCCATGAGCGAGAGGCTGAGCTGCCGTGCTGAAGTTGTCGAGGCTGGTGTGGTTCGACTAGAACCTGGGAAATATGAGGCTCAAGTGTCATGCATAGCCTGCGGCCCTCGATCTTCCCGTTGAGCATGACATGGCTGCATATCCGTAAATCTTCGAGGGCGTGCTGCGCCACTGTCGGGCCCCCTCTACTGCGCCGCTTCACCCACGTTTTGCCTCCATGTGCGGCGTTATGTACCCCATCTTCCGACGCAGCAAACGCGGCAGTTGTGCAGGGCACAGCATGAAGACGCGGCTGTTTCTTTTGTTCTTTCGACGCATTGCAGACCAGCCGAGCACCGGGCCTAGCCCGGTACATAACCGGGTGTTGCGGCCCGTCGCTCTCGAGGACATGGATTTCGGGATAACGTTGCGTTGTTGTCTTCAGCCAGAGAGTTCCTCCATTACCCTGGCCATGGACGGCATGACCACCGGACATTGCACAACCACTGGATGATTTTCCTCATTTCTGAGATTTGGTTGGAATTCTGGTATTGGCGGTCCTGGCATCAGCCAGTGCCTTGCGACCACGCGGCTCGCCAGGGAGAAGATGGGTGAGTGGACCGTCGACAGCCTGCCACGCTGTCTTATCAGCGCCGAAATTATCGTCGACCATTCGCTGCTTGCTCGTCAGCATCTCCAACTGTCCCGCGATGCGAAGAGTGCAGGAAATTTCAGACCAGAATTGAACATATCTCTGCTCGTCTTCCGAACCAATGGTACAAGACGAGGAAAGTGAATACCTAGAAAGACAAGGCACCACTATCTTCGTACCGGTAGTTCGTAAAAGAGAGATGTTCTCAAGTTCATAAACTTTGAAAAGTGCGATTATTCGGGAAGCTCGGTCAACCACTATTACTGTAGAAGAGAATGCGGTAATTACTCGCCTTTTGTTACCTTGTAACTTACTAGCTTCCCGCTAGCTCTAGGAGAAGGGGACCTCGAAATTACAATATTTACACAGCGTGACATGACGATCCATCTACTATCATCATCATGACCTCTTTCCAGCCTAAAGTTGCATTCAGTCTAATTTGGTACGGCGTGTTTACATATACATACACTGCTAGAGTATCGCCGGATTCCACAATCTACTGTTTTGTATCTATCCATACTTCTATTTCTTTGCTCATCTTTAAGACTTCGTCATTTCCACGTGCGCGTTGAAACACGGCAGCCGAAGGTTGGGGGTTTGGCGAGTCTGCGAATCGGCATGGCTATCACGCCGTTGTGGCTAGCATTGTGCCCCCATGTACGCCGGCTGTCGTGGTATCCCGTCAGTCTTCTGACATCACATCTCGGTCACGGTGACCGGCAATGTCCGTTGAGGCTCTTCAATGTTTGTTTTATGGTATCAGGGCATCACATGCAGCAGGCGGCACTCGGCAATTCGGGCGCCGAAACCTTGAACAATCCAGGCGTTGAAAGCGTTCAAGTTGGGATGGACACATCGGCGCAGGGAGCAGTAACGCACATGTCCAATCAGTCATGAGTATTTGGATAACCATGGCCGATGATGCTTTACCTATCCCGTACTATACTGTACTTGTACCCTACCTACCTACCTTAGGTTCGCATGGGTGCTGGTAACACGACGGATGCTGCCTCTTCAACGCCAACTGTGCCTTGCAGGAGACAGAGACCCAACTCTGGATAACAGCATCCCGCCATTCTTGCAGCTGTCCCAATGCCAATGGCTGAAGCTGGCGCGGAGTCCTGTTTTTGAGAGTTGCCTTCGATCTCCGAGGCAGAAGGTAGATACCTACCTAGGTTCCCAGCCTAAGCGCCTCTGGCTTCATTTTCTAAAGAGGTTTCAGGCTCGCTCCTGAACGCAAGAACGGAAAACTGACGGCTCACATGCTTTCCAACACGATCTGCCTACGTACATTGCTCCTTAGGTGGCGTCCAACAAGTGTTCAGACGGATTTGAACCTGCTACACGCGACGCAGACATGAACAAGAAACGCAAGACACAACTTGCGCCGACTCCCTCCAGTTGTTTCCACTGCCTCAAGCTTGCAGCGTGCGCACGCTTACCCGCCCCGCCACACGATGCGCCCTTGTGCATGTCGGGTCGTATGCATTGGTCGGCTGCCGGTGCGACTACATCTTACGCAGTAATACCTACTGCAGAGCTCGCGCCAGTTGGGATGCTCACGAGTTTGGCTTTTGGCTAACAACGCATGCCCCGTGGCACGGACACAGTAATTGAAAGTCTCAAAATGACGGCGTCCGAGACCACGGCATGTCCATGGATGATTAGAGGCCCGAGCCCCGTCTTTGATGCAGGATGCAAGACGCAGCCCCGACAGGCCGGACTCGGAGGCCGTGGCAACGGCCGATCAAAGCTTTGGCTCCATCATCTACGCATCACCGGCGGCGACGGCGGCTCTGTGGGCAACGGTAATCAGTGTCATTTCTCCAGTTCCAGTATCTGAATGGCCCGGGTTGGGGCTGGCTGCCAACACCACGCAAATTCATATCTTCGTTCCAATTGGACGATGCAGATGCAAGTAGGTGTCCTCTGCTGTACCGAGATGCCCTGCAGTAGAAGGAGCTGGGGTCGGGATCCTTGCACTGCCTCTGGCTTGCTGGGACCACACCTCGGGCACGATCACGGCACGCCTTGATCTTCCAAATGAAGGCGCTTTCCATCAACCTTACTTAATATCGAGCAAGGTAATATGACCCCGGCAATGGCGATAGGCATCGCCTTGGGTGGCACCTATTCTCCGAGCCAACACAGTACCACCGTCCATGGGACAAAATTCACGCTAACGTCAGATCTGGCGGTATATGGACGTCGTAGCTTGATCGACACATTCCTTAGTTCCCCCCTTCAGTGACTGCAACACAAGCAGATGGCTCGAGGACCTTGCTGCGTGCCACGCATGGAAGCAGCACCGAAGGCAAAGCGGGTAGCGATACTGCGTCGATCGGCCGAAGGGACGACGCTTGGATCAACGGTGCTTCGCCGCCTTTCTCGCTGCAAGGCTGAAGGGGAACCAAGGAAGGAAGTGCCGGCTGATTTTGACCACCTTACCGCAGTTGCCAATCATATGAGTATCACCATTACACTACCGGTGCCTTCTAGACGTCAGCATTCTTCTGGAACAACGAAAGAGATAACGTTACCGAAAAGATGGCTCAGCCACTACCCTCCTAGCCGGCTGAGGTCGATGGGTTCTGGAATGTCGGGCTTCGAACACAGGATTTCCTCGAGGCCGAAGCCGCGGCTGACGACTCCGATGCCTTTGTCACCGTAATGTGAAAGCCGACAAGTCCTCAATCAGAATGCGACTTTGAGCTCCTAAGAAAAAGGTGAACCGAATATGCTGGAAATCTAAGCGCCGAGCGGGCTCCAAGTTACCTAGGTAGCAAGTAATTAGTCTGTACGTCCGGTATGGGTTGCCGTTGATCGAGCACGGTTCACATCGTGCCATAGCAAGCAAGGAAGACTCCGTCTTCTAGCAAGGGGACCTGATCGGAAGCTTGCACCTTAGTTCATCAATGGGGTGGACCGAGAAGTGAAGACGCAGCTGAGGTCGAACCGGTGGGATAAGAAAGCGTCCGGAACGTGACAAGGACCGGTGATCCGTAATCATGATGGGGAAATTGGGGTTTCTTACACTACAACATCAGCAAGTAGGCCGCTGCTATTGTACATACACCCACAACGTAACCTGGAATAACGTTATGTACTTGCGAGTCTCCGAGTGCAATAATAATTTACCACCTCTGTTTTACTGCGATGATAGCGGTTTTTAAGGTAGCCAAGGTTTCGTTACAGATGCACGGGCAACCAGGGATTCTGTGGCCGGGCCGCCACTTCTGTCAGCCACTGCAAACACCACCATCGTGTTGGCGACAATTACAGGCCTGAACAGCGGCCCCCTCCATTATAGACAACTTACGCCATATTTGTTGAGGAGCAATGGAATTACAATTTTTCCAGTCTGAGGTTGCGCACCGACATCAGCCAGCTCAGTATTACACACTTCGATTCGCCTCCTCTTACCCTAATTGGTATACCATGGAATTGGAAGTTTCGTTCTGTTGCGTATCACTGCCTGCCCGTTAAGAAACTTGTCCGGGCTCATCCACCCCCGCCTTCCTTTCCCTGCTGGCGCGGTCCTTCCAGCCAGATCACAGCCAGCCCCAGCCCCAGTGTGATGATCTAGCGAATATACTGTGCGCCAGCTCTCCCACACCCACCTCCCTGTTCAGAACCGAACCAAGACTTACTGAAAGGCCACGGTACAGTGCCACCGTGGGCCATTACTGGGCCGCCGCTTACACGTACCCCCTCTTCACGATGTTGGTCTCAACCCCGGTCCCGACCAGGGGTGGTCCCCCAACCTCTCCACCCAGCAGCGCTCGCCAGTTGATCCCTGGCATCGAGCCAGGGCCTGGACAGCAAACCACGCTCTAACCTGTCCGGGGGCTGGCCCCATTCTGGCGGCTGTCGGGTGGGACACTTGTCTGGACTCCTCTCTCTGACCGGGAGGTGGTTGAGCATGGAGCAAGCAGGCGAGGCAAAGCAAGCAAGCACTCAACACTCGCCGAACCCGTGAGCGGCAGAGGGCTGGGGTTTTGGAACAGCGACAAAAAAGAGAGAGAGAGAGAGAGAGAGAGAGAGAGAGAGAGATGAAGGACCGACAAACACTTACGCACAACAAGCATGCGCACGACTCACTCCACATAACAATCTACGGGCGAACCTTGAACAACTGCTCTCGACTTTTGTGTTCTGGTACCCTGGTTTAGCTGGTGAGGACCGCCCAATTACCCAAGGATTTGCCAGTGGCGTCCATGTCTCTTTTTTGTTTTTTTACTCTTTTTCCCCCTTCCCCCCAACCTTGGACCGATCCGGTACTGTTTTCTGGCCTGTGAGTGGTCGGCTGGCCGAGAAGAGCAGGGGGCGAGAGCGGTACGGTACAGAGGTACTTGCTTCACAGGCTCCCCCCAGAGAGTGCGGAACGGGACACCGGGCCTGCTCTTTCGGTTCTGTTCTGTTTTCTCTTTTGCTAGCTCGAGGTGATCGGCTATCTCCTCCTCTCACCACCACCTAAATCAGGCCGCATCCCGTCCTCCTCTCCTCCTTCCCTCCTCCTCATCACACTCCACCGACCTCCCCTAATTTTCCTTGAGAGGCAGGAATCGTTCGAGAGGCGAGGAAGGTATGCCCGCTTTCCCCATCTGAGCCCTTTCCTCGGTCCCCGCCTCCCCATTTTTTGTTACTCCGGCGCAGTTTTTTTCTCTACCCCCATATTCAGTCTGCAGTCTCGATCACGTCAATGTTTCTTGGAGCTAACTCGGGCTGCATTAGCAGTTGTGTGCGAGCCCGATAACCCCCGAACGTGCATGTCAACTGCCAGGTGGATGGTCGAACGTACATTCGAGCCCACTGTCGAATTGTACACAAGTTGGCAGCGGACAAGGCAACTGGGCTGAGAAAGGGGCGTGTCAAATCAGTCAATCTCGCAGCCTGTGTCCACGAGAAAGCAAGAAGCTCGACCACAAGAGGCAGTTGCAGTGCCTGCTTGACCCATTGCTTCCGGCCCTCGACAACCTCGCCACAGGACCACACTGGAGTTCTTGACCCAATTAAAAAAAGAAAAAAGAAGGGATCCTACTACGTACCTAGACTTTCGAGGAACCCAAAACAGACGACGCGTCTAGCCTCCAACCGCTGCAGCAGTTTCGATTCCAGATCGGTGCAGAAGATTTGCATTGATCACGCTCTCGTCATATATCCGACTCATCCGCAGAAGTGTGCATACAAGGTTCGGTTGGCGTCACCGGTGGCCGGACTATCACCGACTAGCTTCGACCAGGTGCAAGAAGAGCGTGATTGGAAACCTCAACTGATTCAACGAAACACTCCTGGCTACCTAATTGGAATTGGAGTATACCGGGAATTCGGTGTGCTACGGAACATTGACGTGCTCCGTTGCTCCACTTCCTCAAGTCTGATAGAGTCGTCGTTGCGGCTCAGGCAGACTTTGCGACTTCGTCCTCTGGCTCGCCAGGCTTTCGAGAAACACCGATAAGCTGGATCTCCCGTCGATCGCGCAAGCGCAAACCCGGGGTTCGACCGACGTGTCGTACTACAACTCGGACGCATCCCAGCGTCCGTTGTATGTCCACGAGAGATTACCATTGCCTCTCCCGCCTCCTCCTCAGGCATACTCGTCGACCAGCTCGTCGCCCCGGGTTAGCTCCATATCGTCGGCAGCAAGCTCTAGCGCCGGCTCTCAGTCATCCTTCACATCAGCCGCCTCGTCCAACGGGCCCAAGACACCAGGGCCGCTTTCGCCAGCGCTTCCTTCAGGCAACACGATAACTGGCCCGCCAGGCCAAGCACCCTCACCGTACGAGCCTTACCCAGCGATGAACCCAGGAGGACCTGAAATGTGCTATCAACCACACATGTCCACTGGCCAAGCGCCGCCGCCGCAAACCGTCACGTCGCACTATGGGCATCAGCAGCCTCCGTTATTACAACCCGTGCCGGCCCAATACCCCCCCTCGCAGTACGGCAACCAGTATGGGTACCCCAATGGCTTGACGCCCCCACCCGCGGGACCGCCGGCAGTGTCCAACCCGATGGCCACCGGGCAGCCCGTCTTGCCTCTTCCAGGCGTGAGTCCTCCGATGGGTCCGGGCTCATATTCGCAGGGCTATGACACAACTGGCCAAGTCGCGCCGCCAGGGATGAAACCTCGTGTGACAGCTACTCTTTGGGAAGATGAGGGCAGTCTTTGTTTTCAAGTTGAGGCGAGGGGTATCTGCGTCGCCAGGCGCGAAGGTGAGCTGTTCTCGTCGCAGTAAGGGCTGAAGTATGGTCATCCTGACATTGATTTTTTTTCTAGACAACCACATGATTAACGGCACCAAGCTTCTGAACGTCGCCGGAATGACTCGCGGACGACGCGACGGCATCCTCAAGAGCGAGAAGGTTCGGCATGTGGTAAAAATTGGCCCTATGCACCTCAAGGGAGTCTGGTGAGTTGATCCTGGGACTTTGATATTTCACCAGTAGCCTAACCGTGGAACTGCACAGGATTCCTTTCGACCGGGCTCTCGACTTCGCCAACAAGGAAAAGATCACAGAGCTCCTGTATCCCCTTTTCGTGCATAATATCGGTTCCCTCCTTTGTCATCCGACCAACTCCAGCCGCGCTACCCAGGTGATGGCGGCGGCCCAACAACGTCAGAAGCAGGACGGCCTGAGGAATGGTCAGTCCGCCCTACCGTCCATCCAGCAGCACCATCACCATCAATTGGCTTTGCCTGGGCCGCAACCTCCACTGTCGTCCCACCCGCCTGCTATGGGCCGTCCCTCACTGGACCGCTCCCACACCTTTCCCACGCCCCCAACCAGCGCTTCGAGCGTAATGGGCTCCATGGGTTCGTCTGAGAGTTTCCAGTGGAACCAGCAGGGAATGAGCAATGGCCAGGCACCCGGTCAGATATCCATTGACACGACCCTGAGCAACAATGCCCGCTCGCTACCCAACACGCCGGCAACCACCCCGCCCGGTTCCACCATCCAGAGCATGCAAAACTATCCGCCGGTTAGCCAGCCGTACGACAACTCACGGCAGATGTATCAGGCGCCTCCTTCGCAGCATCCCACATACCCCCAATCGAATCCGTCGCAGCAAGACCGGCCAATCTATGGCCAGACCAATTATGTCAAGAACGAAATGGCTCCACCATCGAGCAGACACGCCGGTCCTGGTGGCGAACAAGTGGATTCAAAACAGCCGAACGGTATCATGCATGCAGGCCAGGGCGACGCGGGAGCCCCCACGCAAGCGGAAGATGAGGCAGACCACGATCACGATCCTGAATATACCCATGACAGCGGCGCATATGACGCCAACCGGGGTTCTTACAATTATAGCGCTCCTCCGGTCGCTTCGTTGCAGAATGACCACTCTCATCTGTCGCCTGACATGTCAGGTTCGCCCCACCAAGCAGGGTCTGGGCGGGCGACGCCGCGCACGGCCGCCCCGCCGCAGCCGTACTACTCGCAGCAGGGATATAACACTCCGCCGCGACTCGGACAGCCCTCAAGTAACCTGTATAATGTGATGAGCAACGAACGTGGGCCCTCTAACGGTGCGGCGCCTAGCGATGTCTACGCAAGCCAAACCGATATGGCAAGCTCGATGCAAAACGGGTACGCGACGCAGCAGCCCGTGATGAACGGAAGCCAGTCGATGAAACGGGGGAGGGAGGATGAGGATGAGCGACCCTCGAGCGGGGGGACCATGGACAAGCGTCGCAGAACGATGATGGACGGCAGCGGCTCGATGCCCTCGCCTACCTTCAATTCGCAGATGGCTCCGCCGGCACCTGCAATCACGACTCAACGACGGAGGTAATACGGCTCGCTTTGAGTGCTTTATCTGGAACTGAAGGAACTCGACTATGGGCAAAGCTGTTGCTGAAGCCTTGCTTCAGGGTAGCGATCTCCCGAATGTCAAAACGCCAAAAGAGCCGGATAAGAAGTTTCGCTCTACATACAGGGACATTTTATTTTTCTCTCATGTTGCAAAGGGCTCGGCCGCCGGGGATTAGACGCTTTACTGTGTGGCTCCTACCCGATCAGTCGAGGTATTTATCTTGGCCTGTCGAGCCCACAACTAGTCCGGCGGGTGGAATGGTCACACCTACGCTCCTTGTTCGTTTCTTACCCTCTGGTCTCTCTTTGTAGTCGCTCCAGACGACCGGCGCGGCCTTTGGTTCAGGACGCTCTTCCGAGCTACGATTCTCTTTGTTGGATGTCCTGATTACGGCTGTACATGGCTTGATGAATGACGGTTTGCATGGATTGGGTCTAATCTAAAGGGCGGGCGGCCAGAAGGCCGGGCTGTGGGCTCGGCGGATGACGATGTCTCGCACCGGAAAGGAAAAGATGAACCGCCTGTTTATGATCCTAGGCGGATGCTACTTTTGACGATAAAACGAAGATGCTGGTCACCGGCTCGACAACAAGACATGGGCCGAGAGCTGGGGTGAAGTCTGCCGCTGAACAACGTGTGTGTTTACTCTGCCGTCTCACATTCCGAGTAAGACGACTGCGCAAATTCTCTGGAATGGCAGATACCCGGCTCGAGCGTTGTGGCTTGTTGGGTTTTTATTTTCTGTTTTCTAAACTCTCTTTCCTAGTCTAACGATGTCATGACCAACGATTCCATCTCAACAAAAGTTGTTTGGGCGATGGGTTGGAATGCCGAAGGTGTGCTGTGTTGTGTTTAGCGACGACCTTGATGGAGGAGTTTCTAAAATGGGGCCTTCTTAGCCGAGATACATAGGGAGGCCGATGCTAGACCTTTACTTTCCCTTGACATTTTTCTCCCCATCAAGCGCTGCCTGTTCAAGATCTCTGATTGAGCTGTACGAAACTCAATATTGCTCTTTGCCGTACTTGCTTCTGCAGATGGTGGAACTTTGTGCGTGTATCCGTGCATTGTGCATTCGTAGTGTGTTTTGTCGAAATCGCTCCTGCTGGAGCTGGAATGGATTTGCCGCTATGGTTCCTGAAACATACCAGGATGATTCAGGGGCTAGATCACGTGATAAGCGGTTGCTAGGCCACAGCGGTAAACAGCTGAGGGGCTGCCCCTCTTCTCATTGGTCAAATGGAACAAAGAAGCAGGGTCGTAATCAGTGCAATTTCGCAGAAAGGGAGAAAGCTCCCAATCCTAAGCACACGCTTGACGTTAACTTTGATCTGGTTATTTCCTTCCAGTGACAAGACTGATGAAGCTCTGAAAACCCAACCACAACGTGAGCAATCGTGTTGCAGTTTTCAGAGTTGCTTAATTAAAGGAAGATTAGAAGAGACAAAAGCAGAATTGGGTACATTGCAGATCAAAATGGCTGCACCGCTATCGCCGACGCCGAGCACGGCTCTCAATTTCTCGACACCGTCGACGGCTGTGCGCCACGAAACATACGAAGCCCAGTCTCGCTCGGTCAGCTCAACACCAACACCGCAGTCACGACCTGCTGGGGACAACACCGAGAACAGCAACGACAGCGATGAAGCCAGCTCGCCTTTTCTCTCGCACGTTAAGGACGACGCCTCGCCGACCACACGGGGGCCCTCACCGCCAAAAGCCCGCCCCGGGTCGCGCATCATCTCCGGAAGCGAGCTCTCACCGCTGAAGATACTCCAGCAGCAACAACAGATGCAAATCCAGGCACAGACTCAGAACCAGCAGTCCCCAGCCCCGAGCGAGGACACGCCGTCTCCCGCCAAGAGCATGCCACCGCCGCCGCTCCCGCAGAGCCCGCGGAAAATGCCGGCCCCGATCAAGCGGTTCCCAATCAAGGTCAGCCAACCATCATCTGCCGCCAGCGAGTCACCCCGCCGGTCATCGAACGAGCGCCGCCCGTCGGCCGAGCGCCCGACCAGCCTGGAAGCCGTGCGTGAGAACGAGGGGTTGAAGCACGCCATCGACATCTTTGAGGACGAGGCCAATGGTGTCAACGGTGGTCTTGACGGAGACGACGACGACGACCATACGCTGCTGGGGGCAAATGACGGGCACGATGTCATTCCAGAGGACGACCATTCTGCTTTGGCCGAGGATAGCATGATCAGCTCCTTCAGCACCTTCTCAGCCGTGCCGGACCTGACCATGCTAGCACGCCTGCGAAGCAACAGCCCCACCAAGTTCTCCGCCATGAACGGCGCAAGCGTGCGAGCCGCCGCGGGCGTGCCCCAAACACCGCGCGCGAACGGCCCATTGCCGGACCGGTCCGGCACAGGACATATGTACGATTCGGGCGGCGGTGGCGGCAACACCACCACCAACCTGTTGGATTTCACCGAGCAGCTGCGGTTCGGCGGCTACGGGATCCCCCAGGCGACTCCGTCACGGGCGCCGTACGCGGCGGCCACCCCGCAGCGTCCCGGTGGCGGCAACAACCTCGTCAGCCTGCTCGACTTTGACATGCCGCCGGCGCCGACGCCGCGCAGCGTGCCCAGCATCACGCCGCGCGAGCTCGAGTCGCTCAAGTCAGGGTTCCTGTCCGAGATCAGCAGCCTCAAGGCGTCGCTCAGCGGCAAGGAGGCTGAGGTGCTCTCGCTCAAGGCGGCCGTAGGGGACGCCGAGAAGCGCGTCGGGGAGTGCATGGAGCAGCTGCGCGAGGTCGAGGGCGTGCTGGAGCCGCTGCGCGCCGAGAAGGACAGCTGGGAGCGCCGTGCGCGCGAGCTCGAGAGCGTGCTGTGCCAGGTGCGCGAGGAGGTGCTCCACGGCCGGCACGAGCGTGAGGAGCTTGAGTTTAAGCTTGATGAGGCCGAGAAGCGCCGTGAAGCGGCTGAGATGATGGCACAAGAGGCGGAAAGCAAGATGGCGGGCATGAAGGCCGGCCGCGCCAGCGCCGCCGAGACCACAGACCCGCTCAAGACCAATAAGGAGGTCGAAAAGGCCGTCGAGGCGGTCGCCCGCGACCTGCACGCATTGTACAAGATCAAGCACCAGGACAAGGTCAACGGGCTGAAGAAGAGCTACGAGCAGCGCTGGAAGGGCAAGGTCCTCGCTCTGCAGGCCCAGGTGGACGAGCTCACGCGCGAGAGGGAGATGCTCCGCGCGGGTTTGGGGGGAAACAACAACAACAACCGCATGGTCGACCCGGCCGTGGAGGAAGAGCGGCGGGCCGAGCGGGCGCGCGACGCCGCCCAGATCCAGGAGCTGCGGGCCGAGGTGGAGAAGGTGGAGGCGGTGCTCAAGACGGTGCAGGCGGACAACGCCGAGCTGCGCGTGCTCCTCGAGCGCGAGCGCGTTGAGAAGGGCGAGCTCGTCATGCTCGCTGAGGAGATGATGAGCATGCAGAGCAGCTTTATCGGGGCGCAGCAAGACGATCATAACAACAGCAACAACAACAACAACAACAACAACAACAACAACAACAACAACAACAACCCGACTGCTGCTGCTGCTGCTGCGCCGACACCGCGGCCATCTTCCCCACCTACTCCCGCAACAGCGGCACGAACAAGCGCAAAGACACCCGGCAGGAGACAGTCCTCGTCCCTCCCGGCCTCGCGCAACACCCCTGGCGGCGGTGCCAACACGGCGCGTCACTCGGTGGTTATGGGAGGAGAACCCCACAATGGTAATGCCAACCCGTTCAGGATGAGTGTCAATGGCGGTGGAATAAGGGCGTCGGGCCTCAAGGCGCCTGGCGTCGGTCTGAAAGGACCTGCCGCTGGTGGTGAGAGCAGGATTGGCCGGGTGAACCACCACGAAAGGACGAGATCTACCATGGGTCTGCCACGGCCCGGGTCTGGTCAGGGATCTAGAGCCACGGGGACGGGCACGGGACCTACGGGGGGGATTATGAGTTCTATTGAGAGGATGGGGATGGGGATGAGTCGGGTGTGATTGATAGTACCTACCTGCCTGCCTGCCTACCTGGTGGATGGGTGGATGGGTGGGATGGTCATGGCGGGAGGGGGATAATGTCTTGGGAGAAGGCGATGAGGTTGTGGTGATGACGATTTTGACTTTACGTTACGCGCGGCCGATGATGAGATGAGACGAGACGAGATGAGACGACCCTTGATGTCCCCTGCTACTTGTTTTCCTTCACAATACCTATCCTATCCCTTGTTTATTATAAGGGGAATGGCGTGGTCGGGGTTGGGGGGTGGCTTTTGCGGTTCGGTTTGGCTTTGGCTCTGGTTGGTTGGTTGTCTGATTTGCGGATTGTGTGTTAGGCTACCATGGCTGTCTGTCTGTCTGGCTGGCTGTGTCTGGCGCTTTCAGGGGGTGGAGGTGGTGCTTGTTGGAGTCTTCTATCATGTCATACTTTTCCTCTACAGCTCACTTCGCCTCACTTGTTCTCTCTACTTTTGATGAAGGTCTATAGAATGCATTACTGTATGAGACTACTTGTGTGTCCTGTCTGGTCTGTTGGCAGGGCAGGTTCCGTGGCGTTTTCGGGCTGGCCGTATGTCTAGCTAGATACTTTGCCGTAGTGTTTATTTGTAAGACCTAGACTTTGTCTGTCAATGATTCTCCCCCTTGCTCACTTATCGAGATGCCAAGTATATCAGACACTGTCTTGCATTTTCAGACGGATTCTGTTAAGCTGTCCTCGCAGGCAACTTTCTTCATGTTAACGCTTGGCAACCGTACGCACTACCCAGCCTCCTTTTCCGCAGTGAAACTGCTACCCGCAAACTCCCACCGTTAAATAACAAATGCTTTTCTAATCTAGCGGCAGTCTTTCATGTAGAAAGCGCTTCCTCCCTTCCCCTTCGCCATACACGGCCGACACCTGCCCCTGGCCCCTCAACTTGTACTTGTAAATCATTAAACCCTCCAAGCCAACGGGGCCCCGCGAGTGGATCTTGTTTGTGCTGATGCCGACCTCGGTGCCGAAGCCGTAGCGGGTGCCGTCGGCAAAGCGTGTCGACGCGTTCCAGTAGACGCCCGCCGAGTCAACACCCGACATGAACGCCTCGGCCGCCTCCTTGGAGGCGGTGAGGATGGCATCAGTGTGGTGCGAGCCGTGCGCGTTGATGTGGGCTATCGCTTCCGCGAGAGAGGGAACCGTCTTGACGGCGAGGGTGAGGGAGAGGAACTCGGTGGTGAAATCGCGCTCTGTAGCGGATGTGAGTACGAGGTTGGGGATGGGCGGTTGGTGTTGTTCCAGGGCTGCTTTGCTGGCCTCGTCGCAGCGCAGTTCGACGCCCTTGGCCGCGACCGCGGCGGCTACCCTGGGCAGGTGGGTGGCCAGGGCGGACTCTTGCACGAGGAGCGTCTCGAGGCTGTTGCAGGCGGCCGGGTAGTTGGTCTTGGAATCGACGATGACGTCGACTGCTAGGGCTGGGTCGACGGATGCTTCGAGGTAGATAGAGCAGAGGCCGTCAGCGTGGCCGAGGACGGGTATGCGCGTGTTGGTCTTGATGTAGCGGACCAGGTCGTTTGATCCGCGCGGGATGACGAGATCGATGTGGCGGTCGAGAGCGAGCAGCTCGGGGATGACGTCGCGGGTGGTGACGAGTTGGATGGCGGCGTTAGGGACTTGGGTGCGCTCGAGGGCGGCCGAGATGACACGCGAGATGGCGACAAACGACTCGGTCGACTCTTTGCCGCCCTTGAGAATGGCGGCGTTGCCAGACTTGACGGCCAGGGCGGCGATGTTGGCAATGACCTCGGGGCGGGCCTCAAAGATGATGAGGAGCACGCCGATGGGGCACGTCACACGTTCGAGCTCGAGGCCGTCGTCGAGGCGGGTGCGTAGTGTGACTCGGCCGACCGGGTCTTCGAGATCGCGCACGTCGAGGATGCCCTTGAGCATGTCCTCCCACTTGCCCTTCTTGCCCAAGTCAAGCCGGGCGACTAGGCTCTGGCTCAACTTTCCATCGGCAGCAGCCTGGCGGGCCAGCTCGAGGTCGCGGGCGTTGGCGGCGAGGATGTCATCTCGGGCGGCCGTCAGTGCAGCGTGTATGGCTGTGAGAGCATCGTTGCGCGACTCGGCAGAAAGGGTAGCGAGCACATGCGACGCCGACTTGGCCGCCTGCGCTGCCTCGAGCGGAGACGCGTTGGTCAGGGACATATCTCTCAACCTACCCTATACTTAGGTTTTCGTTCCAATGCCCTTGCCGTTGCTCTGTGTCGGTGAACGAATCATTGAGCAAGCTTTGTCCGGCGCCGGAGCACCTTCGATGCAGGGTCGGGCCGCAGTTGGCAGTCACCCCCAGCCAATAGCCCCTCTCCCCCTACAATCAAAGGTGGGATTGCGGGGTTCGTGGGGTGCCTCTGCCAGTCATTGCGGCGGCCGTTAGTTAAGCCGTTTCGGTGGGCCTGTCTGACAGCATCTCAGGCCGTTCCGGGACAACCAACTGCATCCGGATCGCAAGCGCATTCTTCTTCCGGCTCGAAGCTGCTATCCGACGGCTCCCGTCCCTCTCCAGCAGACTCGAGTTTGTGCCAGATATCTGTGCTCACAGCATCCCTTTTTTCGGTAGTCAGGTTTGCTCTAGAGAGTGGCAGAAGAATCAAGAGTTGGCTATGTCTAGACTCTAGAGTCTCCATAATCGATTGAGTCTTGACCACCGATATACTTTCTTTATCTTCAACTCGGCAGGCATGGTGTCCACTGCTCCCGTTGTTATGGCACTAAACGATTCAAAGTGAGGATACGGAGTAGTTCGCAGTAGCGTTGAGTCACTGGCACGGAAGCTACATGCGAGAGAGCGAAGGGCCGAGGAAGGAGCAGGGCGAGCCCACACATCCTCGGCCTGCTTATTTCCGGAGGCGGCTGGCTAAACCGACCTGGATCAAGAGTAAATCGACTGTGATTGACCATCATCAGCACCTGAAGACCTGGGAGTCATAATGTGCCAGCTACCGGAGCCTGCAAGCTAGCAATTTGGCAATTCCATATGCCCACGTCTCTGACCTCAGCAGTGCTCCTCATACTAGAGTTAAGCGGTTACTCTGGTAGTAGGGCTACGTATGGGGTAAGCAGGGCAGGGCACGGGCATGACCTGGCCCTGGAGAGAAATCAAAAGCGGTTAGGTAAGGCGAGCCGGCTATTATGGGCGAGGGCATAGTCAGATTACGAGAACCGAGCCGATTCCCGGCGCTCAGGTGCCTTCCTTGCCTCGGGTCCAGCGGTTTGTAGTGTAGTGTAAATTGAAAAGACTCCGATATGTGACTCGAAATGTCCAATGTTCTGACTATCTCCTTGCTATTTCCACAAGTATTCCCTCTCTGTGAAAAAAGAGGCGTATGCTGTTAGGAAACCGAAGAGACACCAACCAATCTCTATAGTCCCACTCGCTTTGATGCCTTCTATGTCCTGCCAAAGCCATCTCCAAGCCGGATCATTGTACTGCTACTCCTGTGATCATGACTGTCGATGACTACGACCATGACCCAGGTGACGAGTCAACCGCTTCAGAGACAGCCGTCAAGCCGTGTCATGAGCCCGGGCCCGGCCACGAAGACAGCCCTGCAGGCCCTGGAGACGGGGGCTCCATAATGCCAGCTGACGAGAAGGAGAAGCCTGTGACGTCGTTCGACACGAGTGAAGACGGCAACGACGCGAAGAGCAACAGCAACAGCGAGCATGATGATGTGGAGCTGGGACACCCCCCGCTTCCAGGGACCTCTCGTGAACCTGATGGCCCTCCCCTGAGGAGGATAGCTTCATCCTTCGCCAACACCACCACCAGAATTGTCCCCAGAGCAGACCGCAGGGGTCTGCTTGGCCGCTTCGCTGTCATACCCGAGATCGAGAACCCGTATCAGTACAAGAACACCACAAAATGGATGATCACTGCTGTTGTATCTCTCGCCGCCGCCGGCGCTCCCTTGGGGACTAGCATCTTCTTACGTGAGTGCCAACCCTCACCTTCATTATCTCGACCTTGAGGCTGACCGGGCCCCGAGCTGCCCTCCCTTCAATGTCGCATGACCTAGGAGTCAGCCAGGCTGTCACCAACCTGACCGTAGCCTTTTACATGCTGGCCATGTCCATATTCCCTTTGTGGTGGTATGCAGCCGGCCTAGCACTTCATACCCCTGGTTTCGACTTGGACTAACCGCATCCAGGTCCTCCTTCTCAGAGACCCTTGGCCGCAGAACCATCTACATCGTCTCTTTCACACTGTTCGTCATCTTCTCCGTCCTCAGCGCCGTAAGCGTCAATATCTCGATGCTTATTGTCATGCGTGTCCTGGGTGGCGGTGCTTCTGCTTCGGTGCAAGCTGTGGGTGCCGGGACCATAGCCGACATCTGGGAGCCCGCCGAGCGCGGGCTCGCCATGGGCGTGTTCTATTTAGGCCCGCTAATGGGCCCGCTCTTTGCTCCCATCATCGGCGGCGCCCTCGCCGAAGGTTTCAGCTGGCGCGCAACCATGTGGTTCCTCACCATCTTCGGCGCCGTGATGCTCCTGATGCTGCTCTTTTGCCTGCCCGAAACTCTCGTTATAAGACCAGCAGCACCCCCTGACGAGACTACCGGCTCCTCCGGTGAACGCCCCGCCAACCCCCTCCGTCGTGTCTCCACCGCCCAGTCGATAAAAAAGACGGCCTCAGTGCTGAAGCGTCTCTTCATCGACCCCCTGTCTGTGCTCGTTTATCTCCGCTACCCGCCGGTGTTAATAACAGTCTACTCGGCATCGATAGCCTTTGGTGCGTTATATGTGCTGAACATCTCGATCCAATCGACCTTTTCCAAGCCTCCTTACTCGTTTTCGTCCATTCTACTCGGCCTTTTGTATATAGCCCCATCGACGGGCTATGTGCTGGGATCTATGCTGGGCGGACGTTGGATCGACGTTATCATGGCGCGGGAAGCCCGGCGGGCACGGCGATACGACGCCGATGGAAAGCTGGTGTACCTGCCCGAGGACAGGATGCGTGAAAACATGTGGCTGGCCGGCACGCTGTATCCTGGGGCGCTGATATGGTACGGCTGGACTGCGGAGAAGGGACTCCATTGGATCATTCCCAGCATAGCTAACCTGTTCTTTGGAGTCGGGAGTATGCTGGTCTTTGGCGTGGTGACCACCATGCTGACCGAATTTATGCCCAAGAGGAGCAGCAGCGGAGTCGCCATCAATAACTTTGTGAGGAACATCTTCTCGTGCGTAGGGGGAGTAGTTGCACAACCCTTAATTGGGGCCATGGGCAACGGGTGGCTATTTACGATGTTGGGTTTGGTTGCCTGGGTGACAGGGAATTTGGCGGTTTTGGCGTTGAGGCGAAAGGGGCCCGAGTGGAGAGCGGAGATGGATAAGAAACTGAACCAGAGTTCGTGAGGAGCCAAGTACACCTTGACAGATCAGGTAACGGCTGATAGACAGGTGATGCTGTCTCGGAAGCTGGGCTGGTTCGATTTCCAGATCGAGGTGTCTGGCGATAGTGATGACAAAATGGGTAACAAAGGTTCTGAGAGTGGGAGGTCTATCAAGGGCAAGACTGGAAAATAGGGGATCTAGGTCGGGCGATGGATGCTCAGAGTAGATTGAAATCTATACCCAGCTGCGTAATGACGTCTGCTGAGTTGTTGCCAAGTGAAAGGGGTTTGAGGCCGAACATGATGCATCCCGCGTCAGCGAGGCCAGTCAAGACCCTCGCATCCACAAATGTGACACTGGAAACTGAAGGGAGAAATATCGAGCCAGACCAGTCTACCGTTCTTGAGAATTGAACGAATCGAGCAGCATGGGGGGCGGGCAAGGTAGAGTTGCATTTGATACAGGATTCGGCATCCCGTTAAGGAGTTGGTCCAGAGCTGTATCTTCTGAGGCGGGCTGAGCTTGGAACGAACCTAAGCGGCCTGGTCACCGATGAAGCGGAGCAAGTGCCTGGTGTTTGCTGTCTTGCTCGAAGAGGCAAGGCTATCATCTCCCGGCCGGATAGAACTCAAAAACTCTTTCCGCCGAGATAGAATGTCTCGCCTGAACCTGATCAGTGAGCGGCCGACTGGGCGTCGCGCTTGGATGTGTTCAGGTTGGTTCTCGAAGGTGATTAGCAATCAAAGACTTGTTCGAGTGTGTGGGCGCCTTGAAGCGATGAGCGCCAACTTGAGTCATAGAGACCGCCTTTCTGCCCCTGCATTACTGTTTCCGCAATGCTAATGTATCTTTGGACCTCCAGCGGCCCGTACTTCTTTGGGTTCTCTAGACTGTCCTGTACTGTTGTGGCCTTAAGCTTGCGGTTCTTGAAGGACAAGAGCAGCAATGCCACATCCGTCGCATCGAATTGCCTGAAGCATGCTGTGGCTAACCCAAGGGCTGTTTGTATATCGACTCGAGTTGTTGGATGGTCATCAGCGGACCACCGCGATCGAAGGACCTTCACCCGGTTTGTCCAAAACTTCATTCCGGATTCCTCTGCTAGGTCGGGATACAGGTCATGCAGCCCAGCCTGGATGAGCTGGCTAAGAGAAAAGACACAAGACCGGCCCCCGTGATGCACTTCTCCCTGCGAGAGAAACTCCCCGTTGTCGTACTGCTCGTTGCCGAGACGGAAATCGAAAAATCTCCGCATGTTAATGTTGAGATCGGCAGTTTGGCGATAAGCCTGGAGCAAAAACATGTCCCGTGCAAACTGGCCCTTGGGAAACTTGGTTGTGTCGACGGCGCAGATCTTGACCTCGCTCGGAGCACGACCGGCCCGGTGGCATCTCCAGATAGCACACTGGATCACAAACAACAGGGAGCTGCTCCACGACATTAAATTGTCGAGGCAATTTCCTAATCCAAAACGCTTGTTATCCAAATGTTCGTACAGCATTCGTGCGGCCTCCACACTGGTCCTCGAAAAGAGATCGATTCTGCTTCGTTGCCCAGAGAACGCAGAGACACTTTCCGCGGAAGCGACAACGCGCTCATCGCTCTGACCAAAACTATCTACATCGAATGCTCTGAACAGGTATCGCGGGACGTCGGTCAAGCGCCATAAGTAGGGAAAATCGCGGCACTGGAGAACACTCGTCTGTGGATTAAACAGTGTAGGTCCATGGGGACAGTTGCCCAATGCTTGGAACCAAAAGCCAATCCACTCCTCTTCCCGCTTCTCCGGGTTGTTAGCTCGGCGCTCGCATTCCCTAGCAAACCACGCGGCATTGACCTCGTCGATGTCTAGGCGGTCTTCGTGCTCGTAATACTGCTCGCTCTCAAAGTCGGGGTCGTAAGGGTTAACAGGATAATCCAGCGGAATGTAGTAGTCGTTGCAATTCAAAGCACCATGGGCATCGACGGCTTGGCTGTAGCAGCGCTCCAAAATTTCGCGCAGAACAGACTCCTCATCGATGGTACTATTGCTGACAACATCCCGAGCGATGCTTTTCAGTCTAGCATCAAAATGCGACAGCAATCTTGCCGGCTGTGTTACTGCACTAGCACTGGCAAGCGAGATGATATAGGCGACGAGGTAAATGTCGGCTGCGTCAGTGAATTTCGCGATGGTGGCTGCGAGATCGTTGACCTTCCTTCTCAGAGAGATCACCTGTGCGATTGCCTCGTGTCGAAGGGCATCTTGGTCCCTATCAGCCAAGCGGATTTGTCGTATATGGACAGCGGTGTCTTTGACGGCTTGGTGGAAGGCCCGATTCGCAACGACGAGATCCTGATATGGGCTTGAGCGACCGGTAGTCTTGGACCCAGATAACTCAGACGTGCCCTGGCCATCAACAAGCCTCAATGCGCCGAAGGAATGGACAAGAGTCTTGAATTCTTCTGTCATGGCGTATTCCTTGCACTAGTAGCAATAAGAGTTGGAGAAAGTATGGCAGCGGCCGAGAGGGCAGTCGGTGGTTGCAAACTTCATTGACTCGGATCGATGATCGTATCTTAATTACCTATCTTGATAGCTCCGCCCTCACTCTGTTCGCTTTTGGTGCGCTTTTGGCGCCGAGCGGTTTTTTCAAGAGACGATTGGCCTTGCCTTCTCTTTGGGGAAAAGTCCAGGCGCGGGGTCTCCGGAGCCTGGAACGACATTTTCATGTCCATTCTGTGTCCAAGCTTCTTGGTGTTGGGTCACATTGCAAAGTCAACTTTTGGAAGAGGGCAATATGTGGCAGCCAACGAATGATGCCATTCAGGCCAGAAAGAAGTGGAAACCTCCGAGCCACATCGATTGCCCGGATGGGCTCTCTCGGCTGGATCGGATGTACCGTAAGCGTACCGTGTAGCCAAGGGAAAAGAATGTGAGGATGTGCTGAGCCTGCCGTTAGCCGGGTTGGTCAGCGTCCCAAGAATCTGATGTGTCCGCACGGCGCGAATAGTCTCAGCAGTAGCCTGGAGGTGGATGCGACCGTTGCAGCTCGAAGTCAGCCACGCACCACGGCAGTCCCATCTAAATGGCTTTTGTATCGCACTCAGGATTTTAGAAGCTGAAATGAGATGAAAAGGAAATGCAAAAGAAGAGAACAGGCATGGGCGAATAATGAGTGGGTGGGCTCGAACCAAGGCCGCAAAAGCAGACACAGACGGATTGGGAAAATGTGCAATTGAAAATCATCTGTGAGCGTAATTTGGGCAAGTTGCAGCCCCCGTTGGCAGAACGGCTTCTCATTGGCAGACATGTTCGGCTGAAAGTACGCATATACATCGGGTTAGGGTTATTGCACAGCCAGCCGTCCAAAAATTAAGGGAGAAGACGAGACTCCCCTTGTTGGAGACGGACTCCGCGCAGTGTCCCCCTCGGTTCGTGCGAACAAGTCAACTGCCCGACCTGATTCTTTGGCAGCATGAAGGCAAAACAGGTGGACGCCCGCCGCCTCAGCATGGCTGCGAGGGCTCCAAACTTTTCCAGACCCGGCCATCATCCTTCTTCGCATCCTCCCACAACCCAACCCGATGCCCACCACGCTCGCATCATCATCACCATCGCCGCTCCAGCCGGTGCGTGTTGTCGCCGACGCGAATTAAAAGTGCGACGCCAAAAGTCCACGGTAGATTCTCCCACCAAGCTGTCTGTGTGCGCCTCCTGCGTGCCAGTCAGTGGATCGCCCATCTTCCCAGCCTACGAACCTACCTGGTCAAAGCACCAACGGCAATCCCTCAAAGCATCGCCATCGTTGCCATTACCCTCACCACCTTGACAAAGGCAAAATTTCCTTGTTGTTAACCTCATTACCGCCTCCCACTACCGCCCCATTTCCCAACCATCGACCGACTTACTTGTACCGCTCACTACGTCGACGCTATTTTGCCAGCAGCGATGGCTCCCTCTAGCAAGAGTGCCGCTGCATCCAAGGACCGGCGAAAGTCGGGCAACATGGCTGCTGCTGCCAGCGCCAGTGCAGCCGCCACCAAGCCGACCCTCATCATCACCCTCAAGGTGCCGTCTCGCAGGTTGCGAGCCACTGTCGACCCGGATTTTGTCAAGGAAGACACACCAGCCAAGCAATCCCCCTCGACTTCGACCACGCTGGTTGCACCGACCAACGCTAATACTGAGAATGCGTCCGACTCGACCCCTAATACGCCGGCCGGCGGCACACCCGCACCCCAGGCCTCCAGTATGGGGCCCCCCTCTGAGGGACCCAAGAAGAAAGGGGTCAAGAGGAGTGCAGGTGCGGCTGCGAATGGTAACGGCGAGCCCAAAGTCCGCGGGAAGCCGGGACCCAAGAAGAAGCAGAAGCTGTAAGTTCCCTCCCCTTCACCCAACTTTCGTTGGTAAAGCGCACGGCAAAGCTTACGAAATGCAACAGTGAAGATGGTACGGCCGAAGGTGGGCGGAGCGGCCTGGCACCCCACAAACTAGGGCCCAAGGCCAACCAAGGTGCCATCAACGCCGGCCTGCGGGCCCTGGACCGGTCCGGCAAGCCCTGCCGGAAGTGGACCAGGGGCGGCTTCACGCTCAAGAGCTTCACTGGAGTCGTCTGGGAGATTCCGCGCTGGGTGGCGCCGCCGAAGCCCCGACCCGAGTCGTCGGCGGACGACTCAACGCCTGCGTCTATCGACAGCAGCAGCAAGGAGAACAAGGAGAACGAGAACGAGAACAATAGCCAGTTCAAAAGCGAAGCGAGCAACAATGGGGGAGACATCGAGATGCAGAGCGCCCCGAGCGTCGCCGCCGACAACTCTCCGGCACCCGTTGCCATTCCTGCTTGATGTTTTCCGGTTTTATACTTTCAAGTTTCACGCATTAGATGTGCTTTTACCGTTTCTGTACACCGCACCTTCGGCATTTCAAACAAAAAAAAGGAGTTCGGCGCTTGGTATGAACGGGAAAAGGACGGAATGGGTACTATTAAGCCTCTGGGTGGCGTCTTGTTGGCAGAGCCCTCGACGAGCAGCGGAGCCGAGGCGTTGGCGTCCAGGGGGATCAGTTTCGCGGCTTGTACAATACAATAGGATGGCTTCTCATGGCATTTGATCTCCGAGGGAGTTTAATTCAGTAGGACCCAGCATGAATACACTAGATGATAACCACTATCAGGTATCTGTCTTGTTTTCCATGATGACGCTGGCGCCATGGCACCTTCCGGTCACTTCATGGAATGCACCTTATATGATGCAGAAGAGCAAACACGCCTCCAGGCAGCAAGTTGGCCAAGAGCTTCCCGTTGTTTCTTTGATTGCTGCGTGAGTCGTCTTGAAGCTTCAATCTGTCACCAACATCCCGCTCAGTTCCAGTCAAGGAAGGAGATAAGCTATGTGATGCCTTGGAGAAGATGTTGGGTGTTATAGTCCTGAGACTGTAAGATTCATCCTGGGATCCCTCCCGTGCCACACACTTAATTGGTCGCAATCGCAAGGAACAGCACGGGACATAACGAAGACAATCTTCACGATGGCTTGGCCGTGAGTGTGCCTTAGGCTTTTGCAATCCCGCCATCTGTCTGCTTGGCCATTGGGCCCTTTCGTGTCCCAATGTGTCGAGGAACAGGTCACTCAGGAGGGGAGTGGGCCGCTACCATGGATCGATAGCCAAGTCGCAAAGGTTCCCCACCTGTCGAAGCAGCTTGGGCCTTGGAGTGGGTTCATTGCCACGAAGAGGCCTGTGGGGCTTGTGAGTGCTTAGTGCTTAGTGTAGTTTATAGGGGGCCCCCATGACTTGCCTAGGCTTTGGGGCCCCGATTCCCTAAAGAGACCCGCAGATAGTGGCTTCCGACGTCTCATTTGACCCACCGACGTCCGACGTCCCGTCATGCTTGCTTGCTTGATTGATCAGAGGACAACGACAAGAACTAAGATCATCACACTCTGTTTCGCTATTCAAAACGAGTCACGCTAGCCCGGCCGATTGGGCATCAGAACCGACAGCACCGGTTGCCACGTACGATTAAAATTGGCTTAGTGTCGACTTGGTTTGGTTCTGCTTTCTGCTTCTCATCCTGCATTTCGGGGACTAAAACGTCCGTCTTCCTCGAATCGATGACATAGCAGTGCACCAACCAAGTTCAAAAGCGATTTGCCCGACACCTGGGCTTTTTGTGCACGATATCTCCCAAAAACAAGACCAGACAACGAAGTCACAGACGCGATAATAAAATCTCTACCAAGCGTACGAACTCTGTCCTTCCAGCAGGTGCCGGGCATACACACGAGTGCTTGCCCGGAGCTGCCCGTAAACGCAACTACTCACACGACTCCACCTCATCCTTCCCCCTCCGTCGTTGCTGCCCTCGTTGGGGCAGCTCACGGTCACCATGACGAATCCGTATCAGCAGCAGCATGGCTCGGCCGGCTTTACCGGAGGAGAGTCGCTGGGTTCGTCCGGGCTACCTCCCCTCAACATGCGGCGGGCCTCATATGCATCCGTCGTTTCCGGCGCCCCATTGTCTGCCATGACTCGCCCAGCCCGGGCCGGCTTCTCCCACATCCTGAATCCCTCTCCCGATAGCGAGCCATTGCATCATGGCAGTAACCTATACTCGTCGTCCTTGAATTCCCGGATCGACGCCGGAATGACGCGTACAGCACGGAACGGGGCTCACGGGGAAAATAATGCCACAGCACACAACAACGGCGGCGGTGACAGCACCGCCTGGGATTCAAGGCGTCCGGGGACCAATCTGCAGTGGTTCTCACGCGCCTTTGACCTCTACATGAACAGGAACCCACTCTCCTCGACAGGGCCCATGGGGCCGGACGACTTTGGCTTCGCCCCCACAGGCAATCCCCACCACCCCGTATCCAACATCAACAGCACCGGCTTCCTGTCACCGTCATACTTGCGGGGTTCGGTATATTTGAAGAAGCTCGAGGAGAGGCACAGGGCCAGGATGCTCGCCGAGCGGGAGGGGCAAGCGGCCAAGGGACAGCAGGGGGTGGCGGCGTCGTCGGCCGTCTCAGGCTCGGCCTCGTCGTCACGGCTGGCGAGTAACGGGAGCTCCCACCTGCCCGCCGTGGCCAACAAGGTGTCGGGCGCTGGCTCGTACAGGGGCGTGGCATACGACGTCGTCGAGAAATCCCCGTACCCGCACGACGACGACACGGTCAGCCCGCTGCCGTCGAGGTGGAACAAGGACGACAAGGAGGGCGCGCTGGAGGTGCTGGGCGACGGGTACGAAGTTAAATACACCGGGAGGGCGGGCAGTGACCACGAGGCCAGCGCCATCCGCGCCGATCACTACATGTCGGCGTCGTGTGGAGTCTATTACTTTGAGATTGTGGTGCTGAATAGGAAAAAGGAAGAGTGGGTCTAACTCTGCGCTTTGCGGATGGAAAGACTTGGAGGGATAATAACTAACATTGACTGTTCTGCCGCAGTACGCCAATTGGCATAGGCTTCTCAAGTAAGGTGGCTTCGTTATCACGAGCTCCCGGGTGGGAACCGGAGACGTGGGGCTACCATGGCGACGACGGCCACTGTTTCGCTGCTCAGACGGTTGGGAAGGCGTACGGCCCGAGATTCGGAACCGGGGATACGGTGGGCTGCTTGGTCAACTTTCGGTTAGGACAGGCCATGTTTACGTTGAACGGGAAGGAGCTGGGTATGTCACCGTGTCACTGCCGCACGCACGCCGTGATCCCCGCCGGCATGGCCAGGATTCGCCGAGTGTAAACATCCCGCTAACCTGTCAACAGGCGTTGCTTTTCGAGATATCAACTTCAAGGACGTGAAGACCAAGCTTTATCCCGTCGTTGGCCTGAAGAAAAAAGACGATCACATCTGGGCGAACTTTGGGCAAGTGCCTTTTATGTTTGATATTGATGGTTATATGAAGGTGAGTTCAGCTCTCTGTGGCAATCTCCTTTTTTTTCGTCCGGTCTTTGGTCAAATGGTTTCTCTGCTGTTTTTGTGCCCGAATCAACCTTCCATTCCCGTGTGTAAACAATTCTTCTGCAAGTGCAAGAAACGCCCAAGTGAGTCGCGTGTTTGTATCGACTTTGACCATTCTATTGCTCGACTCGCGACTGCCTTGCAATGAGCAGATCTACTCCTTCCTTGTCTGTTTCTACCCCTCGAGCCGTTTTTTCTTCTATCCACAATGGCTCTGCGCACAGCCAACTAGAAACCATGGCCCATGATCTCCTTAGTCCGGTAGCAGCTGAACGATTTCTGACACAATTTCGTCAGAGACAACAAGCAATGATTGAGGAGGAGATCCGGCAAGCCGATACGTCCAAGCTCGTACCGGGCTTGTCAGAGACGGAACTCATCCAGCAACTCGTAAGTCACCCCTCAAAGCACCCGCCCGTGCTCACTAACCACCTGGGACCAGGTCCTCCAGTTCTTGCAGCATGATGGCTATGTCGAGACGGCTCGGGCATTCGCAGAAGAGATCCACGCCGAGAAAATGGCGCTCCGGCTAAGCTCGGATGAGCCCGTCAAAGACATCAACATCAAGGACGACGAGGACGCAAACAACAGGCAACGCATCCGACAGGCAATCCTTGAAGGCGACATAGAGCGCGCCATGCAGTACACCTACGCTCACTACCCCACCGTCCTTCGGGACAACGAGCAGGTCTACTTCCGCCTGCGTTGCCGGAAGTTCATCGAGATGATTCGCAAGGAGGCCGAGCTCAACATGCTTCTCGAAGAGCGCAAGAACGCAAAGAGGCGGAGCCGTGCAAACCTGCAGAGTGGAGATGACGAGGAGATGCTGGACGACACGGCTGCGGCTGCTGCAGCGGCTGTCAGCGATCACTGGGAGGACGAGATGGACGTCAACATGGCGGCGCCAGCCGAGGAAGAAGAGGATGAGGATGAGGAAGATGGCGTGACCCCGGCGTCGGTGAGCAAGCTGTCGCAGGAGGCGCTGATGTTTGGCATGGAACTGCGCGCCGAGTTTAAGAGCGACCCGCGCAGGGAGACGAGCAAGCATCTGGACGAAATCTTCTCGCTGATTGCCTACCCTAATCCTCTAAAGGTCAAGGAGGTCGCCCATTTGCTTGGCAGCGAAGGGCGCGTGGCTGTGGCGGAGGAGCTGAACGCTGCTATCTTAAGTATGTTTCACTCTTTTCTTCCGCCTTATTCTTTTTACCCTCGATTTGTAAGTTGAGTTTGAGATGAACGTTTTGCTAACGCTGGGTTTCTTAAACACAAAAAGCCTCTCTCGGTAAATCTTCGCGGGCCGCGCTGGAGAATGTCTATGCCCAGACGTGTGTCCTGCTCGAGGACTTGAGGAAGGACGGCGGTGACGGTGCCTTCATCACGGTCGACAGTGTCATTGAGAGCATTCCCCCCGCGATTTTGCCCTAGCGGCGGTAAGATGAGGAGGGCAGAGGAGAGTAGGAGAAGGAGGAGAAGGAGGAAGAGGGCATAGATCCCACTTCCAAGGTTTACACGTTCCACTTTCCGCTTTCTACTGATACTCGGTTACATGCATCATATATACATTGCATGGGCACACGGAGTGGCGTTTATCTGCGCTTTCGGGTTTCTTTCGGTTGCGGAGGATTTGGAACGGGAGGGCGCCGCTGGGGCTTTAGTTCTGGGTTCGTTGGCTTCGGGCTGCTAGTTTGTTTTATTTGCCTGTTTTTCTATTCTGGGCTGAAGGCATCGGACTCAGAAGGTTGTTCATACAGGTTGATCGCTCTGCTCTTTTAATTTCCTCTCCGCTTTTTATCTTCGTGGTTGAGTCGGATTTGGCCTGCTTTATTCCATCCTCTCTCGTGTCCCCCATCTCGACTGGTTTCCCCATACGGTCCATCTAGCGTTTCCTTTCATGCTCTCCTCTGGGAGTTTCGAAGCTGGGCTCTCGCAGGGGCGGACGTTTGTGGAAGGTGGCTTTGATCTGACCGGAGCTGGGCAAAGACGGATATGGATGGGAAGATGTGGATAGGTGAACCAGGAGAGGGTTGCAGAGTTAGGCGTTGGAGTTGGAGTGCCATTTCTCTTCAACAAATGTGATTCATCATTCTCGCTCAATTTCTGTCGGGCAAGTATACAGCACCTCACTGCTCATGCCCACCTCTCACATCTCCTACCAACCAATTTATCGATCTGCTCTACCGTTTCTGCTTTGTTTCTTATCTTTTCCCGGTCTCCGTTATGCGCCTTGTTAGTCAGTGTAATTTGCTGGTTTAGATTCCTATGAAGTGTCGGGATAAGGGGGGCCTGGGCTGCATCTACAGAGCTAGCGGGGGCTGGCGTAGTGCTCTAACCAACTTAGCTTGTGGAAATGAGTGCCCACCTAACCTGCCTACTTGCCTGATTTGCTTCGGGCGTTCTGGTGACGTTGCTTTAACCCTAGGTTTGAAGAGATGAGCTGCTGTTTGTTGCGCCGTTTCGATTTTCCCGGTGTTCTGATGATGCGTTAGGTAGGATCCTTGCCACGTTCAATCTGAGTTGGCCTGTCTCCTTCCAACGCACTGGATTAATTGGGAATTTGCCAACCCGGCAATTGCATGTCTAGGCATGTCACGGTGATGGCTAGCGAGTCGATGTTGTAGAGCCTGAAAGAGGGGCTCATAGAGAAGCTGTTGGGTACCTAGTCATGTCACTATGGAGTTTAGCGGAGCTCTAGACATTCTACGTGTGTCCCAATACTGTGAAGGTGTCTGCAATATTGACTTGCCATGTCTCTCTGGGTATCTTCCGGCTCTAGTCTAACTTTTGCCTCCAAATATAGTACACCCCACCGGGATCATTCCTGACTTCTTCCTCACAGTGTTACATATGAACAAGCTTTCATACCCTACGCTCTCGTTCGCCCGTCCCACCCGGGCCACGCAGTCTCAAGCATTCTCCGTCTGTGCCTCGCCAACTCCCCGGTCCCGGCGTCCTGCACCATGGTCCCCAGCGTCGTCTTGGCCTTGATCTTGGTCTTGGCCCCTTGTTGTGGCGGGGGGGCTTCCTCCTCCTCATCATCTCCACCCATAAACTCCATCATCAGATGCGTGTAACTGAACACGGCCGCGTCAAACCACGTCGGCCGCTCCACCCCAAAGAACCACCTGTCCTCCCCCTCTTCCCCCCTCGTCCCGCCGGCTAGCAGCGCGGCCAGCGCCTCCAGCGCCTCCCCCGCGGCGGCGTACACCGATTCCTCGTCTACCGCGTCCGCGCCGCCGCTCGAGACCAGTTTTCCGTTGCTGCTGCTGCTGCTCGTGACGATCTGCTCGGCAGCGGCCCTCCGCAACTGCCACGCCAGCGCGGCCTGTACCCCGCCCGACGACGACGCGGGAGCTATGTACAGCTTTTGCAACAGCTCGCTGTGCGCCGGGTCAAGGTACAGGGCGTGCAGCCAGGCGTTACGGAGGTGGAGTGTTACCAGTGCGAGATAAGCTTGTGCGCGGTTGGTTTCGTGGTCCGGGATCTCGGGCGGTATGACTCCGCCGTGTTGCTGGGCGTAGCGGAGGAGCTTGTCCGCGGGGATCGGGCCGGCGGCAGCAGATGGAGAAGAAGAAGTGGGTGATGATGGCCGGGCGGGGAGGAGGAAGGGTAGGGAGCCTGTGGGCGAGGCGTGGTTGGTTGAGGGGAGGGTGCGGAAGCGGAGGTTGGAGAGGCGCAGGAGGGTCTGCGATAGGTATGCTTGTCAGCGGTCTTGACGGGAGAGGATGGATGCACGGCGGGGACATGGAGGTTTGTTTCTTACCTGCCACTTGAGACAGCCTGGATTGAAGCTTGGTAGGCCTAACCGGGCGTCTTCGTCTGTGGAGAAGATGTAGAGGGTTGGGAGTTCGCCGGAGGTAAGATGCTGAGACCTCGCGGGGAGCTCGTTGGCGTCGTACATGAGCAACGGGAAACGGTCGAACAGTCGCTGCAGCGGCCGGGGAACTTGCATTGCCCGCCAACCCGCCGCAGACGGTCGTGTTGAAGACATTGGTGGGCTCGTTTGCGTTGTACTAAGACGCTGCTCTGCACCTAAAGGTACCGTGGACGTCGCTGTTTCACGTGAAATGCGTTATGTAACTTATGCAATCCGTCGCGGCATGGTGTTGGTGTGCCCAGAGTTTGTCCTGCAGTGCGCAACCGGGGACGGATCCGTGCTGTCGACCTGCTGTATTGCAGTGAAATATAGTGTATAATTACAGTTTCCTTATCCAGGTAATACCTACCTAGGTACGTATGACATTTGCTGTATCAGTATTCTGTAAATACCGTTTACTCCTCTGTTGGGTGGGTAACATTAACACGCCCCGCCCTTGCATTCAAATTCGCCGGACGCCCGGAAGGAGCCGCCGGCGCTGGCACAAGCTTCTTTCCTGTCTTGGCTCCTTTTCAAGGTGTGCTTGCACCTGCAACTGATGAACGGTGCAACTCCAGCCTCTGAGGAAAGGACCTTCCAAGATGGTGTGTTCATCACGGCCGATCCAGGTTCAATGGAACAAGTTGTCCCGTTCATAAGTCGCAACAAGGAGACACATCTACTCGACCCGGTCGACTAGAGCGTGCCATTGCAGAATCGGTTCAGCAAGCGCACAGAAAAACTAAACGGTTGTTTACCGCGCAGTAACCTGGAACGTTCTGTTCACCTCACCGAGGTCGCATTGCCAGATCGTATTAATCAACTCAACAACGGCCGAGATTGGCTTGCAGGGAAGGACACGTTTTCCCTTTGGCAAGAGGAGACATTCAGAAACTACTGTATCTCGATCACGACATGTGGAAACGTCCCAAGAATCGGCCCGGCAGCAATCGACTGATCCTGCGGAGACCGAGTCGAATTTTCCCGATGCTCTCCTCACCGCTTGTGAATAGCGAAGGGTACCTTGAGAAGCAAACAAGACAGAATTCGCCACTGCCATTGACGCGGCTAAATGGTCTGGTAGAAATTCTCACTCTGGCTAGCTACCTTGGCCCGGGGCATGGAATTTCGGACGCTCTCTGCCCGCTTATCCGGCCATTGAAGCCGTACGGAAAGAGAGATAACGAGATGTGTGCAAACTCGCCATCACCCGACAGTATACGGATAAGGGTCCGAGTACACAATTAGCGTCTCGACTGGTATTTGAGCGGTGGAGTTGGTCTGCTCGTTGCATACCGATCGTTCTCCAGGCGGGCGAAGGGGCCGAGATGCCTCCACCCATTCTAGTGGAAGTGTAAGCTCATGCTGCAGCCCTGCTGCGGCGCCATTTTGAGGCTCCGCACTCTGTGATGCGCTGCGTGCCCCTGGCTCTCGTCAATCTAAAATGTATGACAGATCGAGGTGGTATGCCGTCAGCTACAGCTACTCGGGCAGGACAGGAGCTCAACTTCCGAAGAAACCCGGGCGGCCGCTCTTACTAACCCCTGATAGCGATCCTGCGCCGTCTACCTGGATACAACCGTGTCCCGGTGCAACTGTAACTGCAAGGTGCAGGGCGACGTCGGGTTCATGAGATTCAAGGTGAGAAGTGAGCTGCGAGCATAGGTACGCTTCGCTACACCGATTGCACTCTAAGCGTTTCCATGTGAGGTACTGTAGGTAAGCTGTGCCGGCCTTATCTTACACACTATCAGCTCTTCACTACACCACGTGTAGGCTTCAGGCTGACGACGCACAGTGACTGGTGGAACAGCCTCGGCATCAAAAGCCGGACCACACTTCAACTGCGATAGTCTCAAGATAAACACTCCCACCCAATATACGCCATCCACGTTTAGATTTCGGCATCTCTGCGAGACGTCGGGCCTGGCAGATTTGCCGAGTGCGGCCACCTTCACTCTGGGAATGGCTTGCTCAGCGTCACGAATGCTGTCTGTAGCATTGGGCGACACAGGCTGAGAAAAGCAAGGCCACCGCGCAAAAGAAGCATTCTTCGATGGTGTGGGGGTCGAACAAGTGGGCTCTTGATATGTTCCGTACCCCACCAAACCCCACCAAATGCCCGGACGTTGGCGCCGAAGCTCTATGAGTGACTCGGGAGTACTTTGGCGGAGTGTGGGTTGCTCGGGGGCTCCGAGCAATGCCACGGCAAAGCGGCACTTCGGTCCTTGACCCGGCTGCTTGGTGGAAGTACTCCCTTGTCACGAGCCTTCTCGGTTTGATGGAGGTTGGTGGACACCTATGACGCCGTTTCTCGCCGAGCGCGCCCACGTCAAAAAAGAGGAAACGTCGTGAAGGAGTCTATTCAGTGGGGAGGAAAAGAGCTCAAGTGCTCCGCAATCTCCATCGCATTAGTTCACAAGCTTCCTTTTATCCTGCCTCCTTTTGTACTTATATTGAGCGATGCGTTCCCCCGCTTCCAGGGCCGCCGTTCTTCTCGGCCGCCCCTAGCTAGCCTCATCACCGTCGCCCTTCGCCCGTTGCCCGCTTCCGACCCGAGCCCGATCACGCAGCCACCCCTCCATCGCAACCCAAGGGAACAACAAAGAACGAGGGGACATCACGTTGCCATCTCGCACCATTCCCTAGCTGAATCACATAGGTTTTCTAGATTCTGTTTGGCTGCTCCTCTACCCTGCTCTGGAAGTACCATTTCCGGCATTCCACTCGCCTATCGCGTCTTATCGATCCTCACTGTAACAATTCATCGACGTCCGCTTCTGGCTGTCTGCAGGACGCACTCCCCATTCACTCGCGGCAAGGCAACCAGACGGCAAGAGGTGCGCGCGGGCCTGCGACGGTTTTGCATCTCGCGTCTGCACTGTCCCGCCCTCGGACCCAAATTGCACTGATATTGCCCTACCTATTCAGCCGACTTGCGTTTGCACCCTTTATCTGGGCCATCAGGGCATCGGGAACTGCACCTGATATACTTGTGGCTTGTGGTGATACAGCAGCCGGTCTGTTCAAGAGAGGAAAGGCGCCCGAGACGTTGTGCGAAATCAAGGCCAAGAACCCGCCATTACAGACGAGGGGGATTAGATTTTGACCTCATCGTCCTACGTCCTAGAGTTTTCCATCTCTGCTTTCTGGGCTTGTCTCATATCTGTCCATTCTCTCGCTCAGCCTGTCCGTTGTCTGTCGTTCGACGCGATCTCCGGGTCCGTGGCTAGCAACTGTCCAGTGCCCTTCGGGATCTTGACCTCGGGTCTGAATTTTCATTCGCTTCTTTTCGGCAATCAAGCCGCCCCCGAAATGGACTCGAGCAAGCAGACATCGACTGTGCCCTCGACGCAACAGTCTCCCACGACGATTACCCTAGCGCCTCCGCCGCCCGTGACGGAGAAGGCCCCTTCGACCGAGCCCTTCCTAAAGGATTTCACGCTGGTGGCCGAAGCAGCGAAGAGGGCCCAGATGGCTGTGCTGATGCGCGACCTAGAGAGCGTTGGCCTGTCATAAACATGAAACACGGGGGAAGACATGTCCAGTTGCTCATACGGCGGCCATCCCATCGTTCAGCGTTGAGTTCTGCTCTCTGAAAAGAGCACCGAGTACAGAGCTGGTTCAGTATCACATGCTGTGATACGGACCCTTCCCAATGTCAGGCAACGGGCAAAACACGACAGCCACTACTTGAATATCGGACCGTCGACTATTGGCGGATGGATCGATTGGATTCATACTACCTAGACGGTGACCTTTAGGGTTGGGGACAGAGACATGAGCATGGACGAGGCAGGCGAACTGGGGAGGGAACTGGGTCAGGCGGGTTTCTGTATTGATGGGTGTTTGTCTGGCTTTGGTCCCAACGGCATATATACGGACGGGGATATCTTGGTCATCGGTTCTATCAGCATCACGGAGTTTGATCGTTGCTTTGGATTTGGACTCGTTGGGCGGGATGGGTAATGGTTGCATTATGGTTTTTTCTTCTCTCATGTTAACTCCTACCACCCTGAGGCGTGGTGAGCCTATATAGATTGTGGGTAGGCTACACAGTATAGCAACGATTAACACTAGAATGATAATCATAAGTCTTCAGAAACGTTACAGAGTAAACCGCAGCTGGTTTTATCCGGGGATATTGTTAAGCTCGCTCAACGCCCATGAGTTTGCGGTAGAACACGGACTACCCTTACCAGTTTCTTAGTGAGGCAGCTGTAAATACCTGTAGAACATCTAACACTCCTGTACCCTATTGCTATGACAATGTGCACTTTTGGGCCTTTTAATTAGACCTTTAAAAAGCTTAGTAGAACTAGAAATCCTGAACTGTAAGTCTTGATTAACCTCTTGAATAAGTAAGTGTCAACTAGGGAGGTAAGCGTTGAGTATCTCGAACGGTACCTTAAGCATCGAGTAGGTAGGTATCTTGAACGGTAAGCGTTGACTACCCTGTAGGTACCAATCAATAACTTGAGAGGCTTACTTATCAATAGGACTGGACTTTAAGCAAGCGAACGAAAAGCAAGCTCAGACGCTTGTATGATGAATCTGGGCAATCGCACGCACCATTGCAGGTCGTCACTGCTGTGGCGGGAGCTGAGGGCTCAAACCCGCCACCTGCTTCTTGCCGCTGCAACAAATATCACGGAGGGCTGCTGCTTCCCCTGAATTTCCCCTACCTCCTTCCACTGCAGCACATTCCTAGGCCTTTACTTTGCGCCGTTTGCGGTGTGCGAACTTTAGGTCAGTATACCTCCTTAGCATCACCACTGCCTAAGTCTTGTTCAGTGGGAAGGAGGAACCCTGGACTCAGGAACCTGTATTTATTGGGGCACTGGAGCTTGGCTCTTCTCCCTACTGCAACCCTCCTCCAAACTCCAACCTCTTCACAGTCAATACAACCACTCTTTGATTGTGCTTTCAGTCTACATCGACTTCCTGTCCACCCCCCGGAGGCAATCATGAGGCAAAGGTCAGTTCGTTCAACAATCTGGCAAGGTCGGAGAAGCTACCCAGCGGCTTGCCCAACCATTGGGTTTTTGGTGTCTGTCATGTCGACTTCGACCCACCCGGCGACCTTGTTATGGCCGTCAACCCACAGAGTGAATATCTCATTCAAGGCGGACCGGGTCAGATTCTTTCATTGCCAACGACACGCGAGAAAGCCGAAGCCACCATCCCCTACCTTCTTGATGCCTTTGCCAAGCCCTCGCCCATCGACCCTTCGATTCCAACCTTTGCACCTTGGACCTGGTCCACCCTCGATCCCGACATGGCACAGGCGATTGAGGATGGCCTCAAAAGGCACGGCGTGAAGCCCGAGCTTTGCAAAGTGGGCGTCTGCACCGCTGAAGAACGGGACATCTTGGAGACGGTTCGAGCCAGTTTCTTTAAAAAGTTGACTAGGTGTCTAAGGGACGTTGAGCTCGACCCAGTTGATCTCGGCGATTCCACAAAGTGCCATGGCTGCGGTATGAGCCGCGAGTGCTTCTTCCAGCCGCTCAAGAAGTGTGCGCGATGCGGCGAGGCCTGGTATCACTCGCGGCACTGTCAGAAGATGCATTGGAAGCACCATAAGCGTACGTGCTGCGCACCTGGCGCACCTGGTGCCACCCCTAGCCAGGCTACCCTCGATGCTCATGCCTACTACACTACGAAGGCGCCTACCGACCCGGAGGCTCGGGCTTTGATGAGCTCGCTTCGCCTTGAGGGGCATCCAAACCGTGGCGGAATAGCGTGCGCTCCCCCCCTCCGGACTATGTTGGAAACATGGTAGCTGACACAGCCTCTAGACTGCCTCTACACCGCCTGATTGTCACGGGCCAAGACACACCGGAGAAAATGCGGCTACTATTTGGCCCACAATATGAACGCACCCTCAAAGAGGATCATGAAAATGCCCGTATCGAATGCCTACTCGACCCGCCCCCTGGTTCTCCTTGGCACGTTCTGAACGGCTCTCTGCATGATCCTTCCCTTGTTCGATCTCTGCGGCCAGCAAACGAGGCTGAGAAGCAGAAAGTCGAGGAAGTCAGAGAGATGCAAGCTTTGATTCGACAGAGGGTGGGCGCTGGGAAATCCCCTTCCTCAGCGGACATGCAGGCCATCCTGAAGACCTTTGGACCGAATTGGCCTACAAAGTTGCCGACCTACACTCTGGCGGCGAATACCATGGACCAAGGCGTTCCGGCTGGTGGATTCCGCTAGTTTCTAGCTAACTGAGGTACATCTGCTTTTTGATAGTATTATAACAGGTATAGAACCCAATTACATATATATCCTCTAACCTACAATAGCCTCAGAGAGCACAGTCATCGGGGAATAAACAATGGTGAACAATCCTAACTCCCAGAGAGTTCCAGTCTCGGCAGAAACTTGGAAATTTCTCTGAGCAAGTCATGGCGAAACAGCAGCCTGCTAGTTAACTGACTGCCTCGTTTGCGGCCAATGCGGAGTCTTCTACCTGCGCAACCTGCAGTCACTTCCTCGTCAAGAGAACAGAAAACGGGGTTGCTTACGGGAGTCATGTTCATACGTATTGCGGTATTGTACAGTACAATACCTACCAACTTTTAGGCCAATCAGCGTGCCGCTACCTGTTAGCGGTCAGCAACGGCAAAGATGCCTCGGCTCGGCTTCTGTGAGCTCAACGGCCGGCAATATCAACTGCGGAGCGAGCCCCCGGATTCGGCTCCGGATAATTCATTGACTGGCATATCTTATCCAGGTACCAACTACCAAGCAGGATAGACAATATTAAACTCAAGTCAGAATCTTCAGACATATTTCAATATGGACATTGAATCCCTCTTCAGCGTCAAGGTACTTCGACATCTTCGCTCAACATTGAAACCCCCCGCTGACATGGGTCTCCCAGGGCAAAGTGGTCCTCGTCACCGGCGGCGCCAAGGGCGTGGGCCGCATGATATCGGAAGCCTTTGTGCAGAATGGCGCAAAGGTGTACATTGCCTCACGCGACGCCGCAGCGTGTAATGCAGCTTGCGCCGAGCTCAACGCCCTCCTTTCATCCTCCTCCTCCTCATCATCATCAACAAAAGGATCCGCGATCCCGCTCCCAGCGGACCTGTCCAAGCCCTCGGATTGCCAACGGCTCGCCGCGGAACTGACCCGGCGCGAAACCAAGTTGCACGTGCTCGTCAACAACTCGGGCGCGACTTGGGGGGAGGCCTACGACCAGTTTCCCGACGCGGCGTGGACCAAGCTGCTGACGCTGAACCTGCAACGGGTATTCACTCTGACGCAGCTGCTCACTCCTCTACTCGAGGCGGCAGCGGACCTCAGCAGTGGCGGCACGACGCTGGACCCGGCCCGCGTCATCCACATCGGCTCCATCGACGGCATCCGCGTGCCTGTGTTGCCGACGTATGCTTACAGTGCTAGCAAGGCGGGACTGCACCACCTGTCGCGCCACCTGGCTGTGGAGTTGGGGCCAAGGGGGATTACGAGCAACACGCTGGCTTGTGGGCCTTTTCCGAGCAAGATGATGGCTGCGACGCTGGAAAGTTTTGGGGAGGATATTAAAGCCGCGAACCCGCTGGGGCGTATTGGTATGCCTAGTGATGTCGGGGGTGCGTGTATTTTTCTGGCGAGCAAGGCCGGTGCGTTTGTCAATGGGGCGACTATTACTCTGGATGGAGGGGTGGTGTTGCAGAGTAAGATTTAGTTTGCTATGGGAATGGTGGCTTAAGGGACAGGAAGACGATCATGGCCCAAATCTATACATAGCAACACCGTCAGGTGGCATATGGCTGGGAGGTGTCCACCTCCCATTAGGCCAGATTTTGAGTTACCGCTCAGCCTCTACACTGGACCCCGTCGCAGACCAGCCAGCAGGTCACTCTAAGATATTCCTCCCGTCTACGAATAGTGTAATAATATCAACCGTCGAAGCTCATTGATATCCTCTCCCTTCACACCCCCATCTAATCAACCCGCCTTTTCCTTCCGCAGAGAATTATAATGCTCCCCCAACCCGTATCCATGCCTGTAATAAGCCAACCACAGCGTCTTAACCCCCTCTCCCTCCCCGTCCGCTTGCCCCTCCTCCCCTACTAACCCAGGCTTGACGACCTCCACTCCTCCACCACCACCACCATTCGCCTGCACCACCCTAATCTCCACCCCGTACGCGCCCGCCAGGGCACTCAGTTCCAACTGCCCGCCCCACTCCGCCGTGTCCCTGATCTTGCTGACATACGACTCAAACTCCTCATCCAAAAACCCCTCGTAAAGCTCCCGGTGGCGGACCATGAAATCCGCCGCGGCGGCCCGCACAAGCTTATACCCTGCCACCCCGTCCCTCCCCCCTGCCTTATCTAATGTAGCTAAAGGTTTGTTAATGGGAACCCCCTCCGCCTCAAGCTGATCGGCCACGGCCGAAAAGAGACAGTGCCCGTCGGGCGCAATCTCGCGCTCGCGCAACGAATGCGCCGCAAACATCTTTTCTAGGGATGCCCGCTCCGCGGCCCGCCGGTCGGGCATCTGTGCCGCCTCGCTCGACGCGCTGGCTGCTAGTGCTTCGAGCTCGGCTGCGCGCCGGGCGAGGCGCTCTTTTTGGCGGTTGCGTTTCTTAGGAGGAGGCTGTTGTTGACTTTGTTGTGGTTTTTGTTGTTGTTGTTGTTGTTGTTGGGCGGAGGGAGGTGAGGAGAGGGTGGTTGTTTGCAAGGTCGAGGCCAGGCCGTTGACTACTTGTTGTGAGTTGTCGGATGGTGGTAACGTTTGTGGTTGGGGCTGTTGTTGGGCTTGATTTTGTTGCTCTTCTTCTCGTTTCTCGCTGCCGTCTTCATCTTCAATACCAGCATCGTCACCCCCCAGCAGCTGCCTCAGCTCGGCCTCCTGGCGCTCCCGCAGCTCGCGCTCGAGCTCGGCGCACTCGTCGTTGACGCCCTTGCGCGTCTTCTTGGTCGCGTTTTTCTTCTTGTTGGTGACGCGCCCTTGAAGATCGCGTTGCTCCTTTCGGTGGCGCGCCTGCATCTGCTCGAGGGACTCGGACTGCTCCATGGTGGCCGTTGTTGTGTCTGCTCAGGGATGAAGAGTTTGAAGTCTGGGCCACTGATGAAGCTCTGTCAGAGCGAAAAAGTTGGTGGGGCAATCGCGGGGTCGGCCGTGCCGTGCCGAAATCTCTGGCCCCACCGCTGTGCTTCCCCGCCCTGATTTCAGGGGTTCTTGGGCCCACTTTGTGCTACCCGTCCAGGACTCAAAGGTCAACATGCGGTTCTACTTATGTAATCCAGTATTGAATTGTACAAGACGAGGCACGAATCTCTATTTTCGAACAGCTTTTACCCCAGTCCCAATCTCAACCGAGTGGGGCGACGATATAAAGGCTAGGTAAGATGGGTATCCGTTATGCATCTTCATTTTCTCCCTCCCTGAGCAAACGTACGATTTTTCCCCTGTGGACTCTCGAGGAGACGGCGAGAAGACGGCGAGAAGACGGCGCTTGAAGCAAAAGCTGAAAAGTTTAAATCATGAAGAAAACGACAAGTCCAGAACATAAGTACAATGGGACAGCCAGGTCAAACTAATCTCAAGTGGTGTATTCCTCCACAAGAGGTATTACTATCACTCAAGGCACGAGAATTGAAACCTAGGCCAGAGCCCGCAAGGGGAAAATATATAAAGGAAAAGGAGATGCTGTGTCCTGTCTTCCCCTCAGCGAGTTCCTTCAAACCAAGTCCTACCCGGCCCATCCATTCAGGGTTAAGTACCTGAGACAGAAAAACGAAACAGAAAGAGAAATACTTTGCTTCCGTAGACGGGTGGGAGAGAATCCCGTCTTTGCCTGCCGTAGGCCATGGACAGACCTCATGATGGTCGTAAAACAGAAATCCACAGGCCCCCACTTCGGGCGAGTGACTTTGAGGTGAGACAAATAAGTATATATAGAAATAATAAAACAGAAGAAAAGCGTCAGTCATGACTACTCTGCGGCTCCGCAAGCCACCAAATAATGCCAAAGAAAGAACAGGCGAATGAGAAAAGAGCTTCCTAGAATCCCCTGAACGGGTCGTCCCTCAGGTACCAATCCTCCATCTCATCCGTCGTCCTGGTGCCCCTGCTCTGGTAGCTGTCCCGCTGGCGGCTGCGGCTGGTCCGGCGCCGTAGCTCCCTGCTCCGCCGCCGTGTCACTCGCCTAAAGTCATCGTACTCGTACGGCGCCTCCTCGAACCGGCTGAACGAAAGAGGGCTGATAAACGCCTCCATACGTACAGTTCCAATCGCATCAAAAAAGTTTGGGTTCACTCCCGGCCCGCTGGGTCGACTCGAAGCCTCCGAGCTCCGTATAGACCCAGGGCCTGTCGCCCAAGTAATGGCGCTGGATCCCGTAATTCCGCTGGCACCCGTATTGCTGTAGATATCCGATGACCCCGCAGTTCCAACACTGTTGCCCGCTGTGCTGTTCGATGGTGCATGATACGAGCCGTTTCCAATTGGACTAGAGAAGCCCCGGAATGAGAGCGGCGGCGGCACATGGCCGCCAGTGTTGCTTCGCTTGCGCCCGTGAACCGCCGCCACGGGGTTGCCACGTTCGTGGAACCGCGGGATGTGCGGCGGCTCGGCCGCATCCCGCGACATGTCCCGTGCATGCGTAGGGAGACTGATGCCGTCGGGTAATGGCGACCTGTAGGCCGGACCGGGAATGTTCGGTGGCACGGAATCCGGAGGTAATGGCTCTGGCATTACGGGATCTGATTTGATGATTGGCCCTCCCGTTTTGGCCTTGGTAAGCCGGATCGAGTCGCGTATCGGCCTTCGGACCTTGGGCTTTGGTAATTCATACTGCTCCAACGGTGGTTTGGGTTGCGGTACTGTCAGGGTTTCCGGTATTGCTTGATTAGAGTGAGCTAGGAATGACAGCGACGTCAGCCAGATATAATGCCGCTCCGCGTTTGTGGCAGTGAATTTGAGTGCCCGCTGTGGCGTCAGAATCAAGATAGACCTGTTGAATAGTGGACCGGCGCCTCTCGGGGGAGGATTGTCGTCCTTCACGTCTAGCACCGATTGGATCATCACTAAGATTTGGTAAGCAGCAGACCAAACAGATGCGTACAGCACGTTACTTACGTTTTCGACCGGACTTGCCCATCAGTGCGCTCCCCGAGGCGGGTTGTTTGCTACTCCAAAGGATCGCACGCTCATAAGGCGCGAGCCAGACCCATCTCTTATGGCGATCATTGCTGCTGTCATCGCCGCCTTTGACGTCCGCGACGCCAAACGACTTCCGCCTCCGCACATACTTGAACATCCATTCGCCAACCATGGTCTGAGCAATGGCCTCCACAACCGTGGTAGGTTGGTTCGCGCCTCCCGTCTGGGATCCAGGACCAGTCTCGGCCGTGTTCGCCGTAGTTGTGGACAACTGGGATCTGTGTGTTCTGTATCTACCATCCCTGGTCCGCGGCGTCGTGATATCGTTGCTAGGCAGAGGCGGGAGCCCGGAGCCGGGGCTCTCGGGTGCTTCGGTAGATGGGGAAAATGGAGGAGGCGAGCGGCTGGCACGTCGGCGGTATCTTTGCCCCCGAGGAAGAGCTGCGGCAGAACGTACCTTGCGAATACTATTCGCGCGGTAGTGGCTTCGACCGGAGCCTCGTCTGGGCCACGCATCCGACCCTCTAGGGCTCGTACGCCCATCGCTGGGAGCGCTGGCGCTAAGAGGCGGCTTCCTGGAACTGGCGCGTGTCGGGATAGGGAACGGTGGTTCCTTCGGATCCGTGAGGCTCGGGCTTCTAACCCTCTGATGCGTCGCGATGCCATTTTGAATCATGGCGGCCCTTCGCATGACACTCGACTTAGTACCAAACAGCGCGGCCCGCCCGCCGCGCCTCGATCCCATTCTGTGAATGAAGCTCGCATCCTTAGGCTCGCGTGCCGGGAACGTAGCGGCAGGACCAAGGCCTTCGGGCTCATCAACACCCCGCAATAAGCGGCTAGTCAGCTTCGAAGGGAATGCGTTCTCAGATGAAGTTACGGTGCCACCAGAATTGCGCTTTCCTCCGCGGCTCGTCACAGACTTGGGCTTTGGTGCGGAGAGGGCAGTGCGATATTCCGAGTCGCTCACATCGGCATCCACAAATTCATCAACCTCATCCGAGCTGTTTCCGTCAAAGCCTGCAAATAGGCTGCTGATGCGCGGCGGTCGTCGCATTGGCGCTCTCTGATTCGATAGCGGGCCGTCGTCATTGTTCCACGGGTAGGAATCGTGTGTTTCTCCCTCCAGGAGCGATGATGACATGGGAGGCGATGATGGCATTTCCGACAAACTTCTCTTATTCGCCAGTCTTCGCGGATTCCGGGGCGGAACGTTCCCCGGAGTCGGTGTGAACTGCCGAGATTCGTCGGCAGCGATATCTGCGCCAGCGGTGGCTGGTGAGGACGGCCTGGACGAAATGGCTGAGGGATGCAGGTGTGCAGGCAGCCGATCCAACCTCTTATCGACGCGAATTTCATCTGTTTGGACGGCCACGGAAGTTGTGGGTACCGTGCTCAACAGAGACACTTGACAACCAAAATCCTTGCACAGTTGCGGTAGGCGCGGCTCGCGAGGCGAACTTGGACGGCTTGTGGGGGGGATGATGCTGATACTGGGAATGGGCATCAGGAACGAGGGTTGAAGTGGCGGCGGGATGTCATCAGTCTGGGTGGATGCGGAAACCATGAGCTTGGATTTCGGAGTCGGCGGTGTCTCTTGGAACGGCGTCCTGGGTGTTCTTGGAGGACTCAGCGGCTCTTCGGCTGTTTGAGATGAACCATTGACCATCAAGCTATGGATGCCAGGGGTTTTGATAGCAAGTGGCTGACCGATATGCACCCGCTTCCTTCGCTGGTTCGCCTCAATCTCGAGGTCGACACGGGGAGGGCTGTCAACGTCGTATTGTCTTTCAAATCTCTGAAGGAACGGAGTCGGTTCCGGAGTTGAAGGCTTCACGGGTGGTAGCTGAGGAGATGGAGGGGGTGAATACTGCATCCCGGCGTCAACATAGCTGACTTTGGGCGCCGGTAGCTGAAGCTCGTCGTCCTCCTTGATAATGCCATCTTCGAGTCTTTCAAGAGCAGAAGGGTTGAATGCCAGCCTCCCACGAGCAATGCTACCGGACCTCATCAAGCTGTCATTGCTCTGGTGTCTCTGATGCGTCCTAAACATGAGGCTGTCACGGCTCATTGTCCGCATGTGCCCGCCGTGGGAGAGGACGCTATCCCGACCGCCACAGTCGCTCTCCTCATCATAGCCGCCATCAAAGCCGAGCTCGTCGGCCAATGAATTCCCGTTCGGTTTGATGACACTGGTTGCGGCTGAGAAACGTATGCTGTTAGTGATGCTCATGGTCCTGATGCTCGCAGCATCATCGTCTCTGCCGTTCTTTTCGGCATCACTTTCAACGCCATGCTGGAGCGCATGCGGCCCGTTAGCCTGGGCAGCAGCCTGGAACGCGGCAACCTCGTCAAGAACGACCTTCAGCCGGCTCTCAGCGACATGGATTCTGCGTTCAAACTTGCGCTTCTCTTCTTCCCATTCGTCTCTCTCCTTGGCCCATTGTCGATGCACACGCTCTGAGTCCTCCTCCTGGCTCCGCAGTTTCTTTTGCGTCACTTCTAGTCGTTTCTTGGCCTCGGCTGCCGAGTCGACTGCCTCATCACGCTCCCGCGCCAGTTCACCAAGCGCAGAAGATGTGCCACCCTCGAGCAGAGAGAGCTGCCGTTTTAATGACCGGCTCTCCTTTCCAGTTGACACTAACGAAGCCTGCAGGGATTCGGTCTCTTCTCGCACTGTATGCAATGTTGACTCGAGACTCTCGATAATCTTGAGCTTCTCCTCCTGGTCACGTCTCAGCGACAGTATCTCGGACACTAAGCTGGCATGAAGTGTCGGCGTAAACCGCCGCGGATCTAAGATGCTGATACTCTCGTCGTTGCTGACATCTCTAGAAGACCTCTTGGAGCTCCGCTCAGTCTTGTCTCCGGGGAGAGGAGGTGGAGAAATGCTTTTGCCTTTCTTTCCGGGAGGTGTAACCGATCTCCGCGACTTGCGGGAGCTTCGTGACACATTGCGGGAGAGCGCACGGTATGGCGTATCAGCCGGTGTTGGGAGCGCTACCGGCCCAGTTGATTCATCCTCGGTCTCCCACACGGCCATCTTGAAAACTTTTCGGCTTTTGGCGACTGGTGAACAAGCGTCTCTTGCCGAGCTCAAGAGGATTCAAGTCATTTCCACTCTTCAGCTACTCTATGCCTTGAATCGTACCGTGCCGGATCCAGGAGTGTTAGTGATATAGGTAGGGCACAAGAGAGTCACACCGAGCTGCGGTGATCCCTGTCGGCCAGGATCGAGCTTCTTGAAGGCCGTTTCAGGTGGGTTGACGCCCAGCAAAACGGTGTCGGCAGCTTTCAAGGGAGTGTCGATGCCCGAATCAATCACCGTACATAGAGCGAAAAGACATGCACTGCGCACGGCTCAGATCTTCCTGGAACCTCCGAATCGGACTGGCGTTTGTTTAAGTTGAATATCGTTCATTACGTCCATCGGTTTGCGTGTGGGATTGCTAATTCTGCGTCGTCATTGGCCAATTAGCATAACTGGAACCCCTATTTTGCGAAGAGGTTGATGCTATAGCATGCGCATTAAGAAACGAGAACCCCTTGGCTAAGTCTCGCCTAGCACCCGGATCTCTATTAAGCTCCAAATCCGGGTTTGGCAACCTCCGGACACGACTTACCAATACTTATAACAGCAAGGCACAATAGCCATCAGCTTGCTGCAAAGGTAGTGGGAGGCGCACAGTGGCCGCTTGACAACGCGACGAATCGCGGCAAGGACTAGGCCAGTATTCCTGAGCAGCTGCGAGCTCTTAACGTCCCGGCTGCCACGAGGGAGTGGAGCTCAGAAGCAAATATGAGACGAACGGGCTGCTTGTGATGGTGGCGACTATGTGAAGCTCAGGTAGGATTCCTACCTGAGTCGAGCAATCCAGAGCTGTCATACAACTTAGTTAATAAATAAGTGACCTGATTGCGAAAACCACAAGAGAGACGTTGCATACCTCGTACAGAACTTGAAGAAGGCAACAAAAGAAGCTGCGAATCGCTGCAGGCAGAACAGAACCAAAATATCGCGTCGCAAGGGGAATAAGGTTATTTCAGAGCGTGGAGGACTGTGCTCTTGGAGAAGAGAAGGAAGGCGCGTTGTTAGTGTGTCCGGGGCCCTGAGGAAGGAAAGGAAAGTCTGAGAAAGAGCGTCGAGGACAACAGCGAGGATGGGCAAAGCCAAGGGCGCCCGAGACTCGAGATCGAGAAAGGGAAAAAAAGAACAATGCGGCTTGGAGGATTGTGTTGAACGATACGGATACAAGTCGCAAAGCCAGGAGGTCAGAGCAGCGGCTTGGTCAACCTGGCTCGCCTGGGTGCCGTGATTGATCATAGAATTTGCTCCACTTTTCGAAGACGAACCATCAGCAATCAATCGAACTGACCGGGGCCCCTTGCAGAGGCAGAAAAGATGCATGTGGACCTCTCGTCGGCCGGGTATGTAAGGTAGACAGGGTCCAGATGAGACATGGTGAAGTGCAACTTCGAACGCCTCACTGGCTACCAAATACGTGTATCTACCGTACACTGTATAAAGAGGCTGATTGAACCTCCTCCTCGTCACCGAATGCCCCAGTTGCACCAAACAAGCCATGTGGTGGGAATGACCCGAGGCGGCTCAGGAGATTTCCTCGACTTTCTTCCTTCGTGGCGACCAGGAAACAGAGGCTGGCTGGGGCGGGCCTGGAACCAAAGTTAAGCCCTTGTCGGCTCACGAAACCAGACCAGTGCTCCGAGGGATTGGGTCTTGGGGCACGCCAACTTGAACTGAACCCAAGAACAGAAAGGAGCTGGAGGTCAGTTTGGCCCTCTCTCTCATCTAACCAACCCACAGAGTCATTCCCGGCAGTGGAGTTGGTGGTGCGGTTTTGAAAACGGGAAGCCAGGATGGGCTGTGGGCGTTCCCCGGTGATTTTGAGCTCGCAATTCCCGAACGCACACGCGGAATCACGGGATGCAAAGCAATTAGGACCTCGTCTGGCTGCCGACTCATGACGAGCCGATGCTCCTTTTCTTCCCGCGGCCGTCCCATTCTGTGCTCGCTTAACGTTGATATCGCATACTCGCAGCGCAGTGTTGCTGTTTCGTCGCATTACACTACACTACAAACCATGCAAAAAATGCAACCCGGGCACCGAGAGAAGGGCTGCTGCGGCGTGGTGTCGAGTGTCGACAAAAACAAAAAGGGGATTTTGACCGGGATGAGGTTGAGGCCGCTAAACCTCTTTTGTCGTAAGCCATTGTGACGACCAAGGACAGCGAATGGGAAGCAGAGCCAACTCGAGGCAAATTTCCAGATGTGATAGGATGCTGACGATCGCCCGGGCCTTTGGCCGGATGGGTGGGGATGGCGGGGGGTAACTTAACGAGCCAGCCCGGTCGCTGCCTCCACGCGACGACAATCCAATTCTTCCCTGGTACTGGACGCTAGCTACGCGCACGTTCCAGGCTTCCTCACAATCTCTCTGGTGAAAGGGCCAGACAACTCCAATGAACACGAGTACAAAGATCTCGTCGTACTCTCGCAGTCGCGTCGCGGCGACATCGAAGCATTGACCTTTGGTTCGGCCTCAAACTCGCGCAGGTCAAATCAGGAAATGTATACTGTGGTACTCCGTAGGCCCTTACACGAGCCCCCCACATGCTGCACCTTATCACTGGAACTCACGACCTGGGTTCCCAAGCAGCCAGCCGGACGAGACAGCTTGGCATCAACTCAAGAGACGTCATGCAGCTCATGCTCATGTCGCTTGCGACGGACTTTGTACGTTATAGCTTACACTGCAGTAGACAGGGTAAAACGAAAGTTGGTGAACCTGGAAAGACCGCACCTAACTAGCTGTTTGATGGCCATGCAATGGCGACAACACCACACCATACGGATACATGATACCGCAGCTTATAGTCGGCGCCACGGCCGCGCAGGAAACGGTGTTGTGTGACGTCTGCTTGCTTGCACTTCGAACCCAAGGGTCCAAGCCGAACGACGCAGAGGATTGGGTCTCTCATTGTCTCGGAGGGGCACCCGGGCGCGATATCCACTGATTCCAACTCACCAACCACGCGCGGAGAACGGCCGATCTTCTCATCCAGCCGAAACATGCCCGCAGAGCTGAAGTAGATGACTTCACCTGTCATTTCTACTATGGTAAGGAGTGTGTAGGTACTATCTCCATAAAGCGTGTTTCCATGACTCGATCCTGGCTGGTCATATCATGAACCTACAAGTCGTTCCAAAAGCGAGATAGTTGCGAGAAATACGGATTAATGATAGGAAAACAAGAGGATGATAGAAAAAGAAACAAGCTTTCTTCACTGCATTAATATGAACTCGAAACCAAACGGCCTCCCCCCGCCAAGCCAGTGTACTGTACAGTACATACATACGGAAATTACAGTACCGGTACGAAGTACTGTCTAGCTTACAACCATGCCGGTACCAAGCATCAACCACGGTCCGAAACGCCTGAAAACAGCTACATGATATAGCATCGCGTATGCTACTACCAAGTGTTATCCCAGGGTGTTAGAAACGAATGAGCGATGTTGGACGAATAGTCGCGGCGTGGCGGGTGAGTAGAAGAATCTCTAAGCTGCGTGTTTTACAGAGTTCCTAACCAGCACAACTTACAATGCCAAGGCGCGGGAAGCCACGAAGGAACCTGCCGCGATGCTGCGCTCTTGCCCCGCACCGCTCAACAACAATCTTTGGTTGAATCTCCCTTCCTCGCCGGGACATTTGGGCCAGACAAACAAGTGCTGACCAACTCTGCAGCGTTGGAACTTCTGTCACAACGTTGGCCGAGAAAGAAGCGTTGCGGCACGGAGAACTAAGCCAATCACTATAACCAACAGCAGGTTGTCTCAATTGGACGCGCAGAATGTAACTCGTCAACTCGCCTAGAAACCTACCCGGAAGGTTCAACCGTGAAATCGACGGAAAAGATTTTGGTGAAGTAAGCTCGGTAAGGTATGCCATCGAGGGCTTCACATGCATGGTTTCAGAAACATTGCCACTAGTAACTCACTGCAGTATCACATTGCATATTACCGTTATCGTCCGTTGCCAATCTGAGCCAATCTGGCCGCGACTGTCGAATGCCAACTTGCAGAGGCATCGGCTGCAGTCTGCAAGTTGCTGCATGCACGGGAGATGTGGATTCAGGCAACGCTAACCCCCTGCTGCTGCTGCTGTGCTGCATGACGGGAGGGATGCGGGGGATGGACCCTTTAAAGGGAGATACGTGAGCATCCGCAAGTGTATGTGCGTGCAGCATCGATTTGCTAAGGAGCCCATTCTGCAAGCAAGCATTCCGGGTTTGAATGCAGACACAAGGGCAGTGTAATGTTTGATACATATTAGGATAGATCTCGGATACCGATCCGGGTCTGATGGCGCTGGATTGTCCAGGAATAGATGGTAAATTGGCGATTCTGACATGCAGCTTCCATCCGATCTCATACTCGATATCAGACAAGTTGGGGGAGGCTCTGTGTCTACTCGCAGGTGGAACAGTCGGTAGTTGTGATCTGGACTGTGGATGGTGCTACAACGACCGAACCGGGAAAGGAGACGGATCTTAATCGAGGGTCTCGGCCAAATGTTCCGGCACGCTGCAGCCGGGTGCCGACCTGATGGAGCAAGAATTGATGCATACCTAGTCAATGCCAGGGAGGATTAACCGGGTCAACAACAAACCAGCTCCTTCATGGCCCAGATGTTCTAATGCAGACTCTGTTCAACAACTACCCCTATGTTGCGACTCAGATGGCGCCAACGTTCCCGGGCACAGGCCGAACTCCGACTTAGATCGAGTCCGAATCACTCCGAGTCCTCGCTGCTCCCTGCGCTACATCCTGGCGTGGAAGCTCCCCTTACAGTGGATTATTATGTTTTATATATCTCCTCGCAGAATAAGGTATTGAGGAACTTGACTCGAAGTCATTGCCTTGACCAATGAACCCTAAGAGTCTTCATGCCCTGAGGACACTTGAAGCGCGGGGAATAAGATCACACCTCCGGATGGGACATTCAGCCACCGTTTGTACGACGCGGACTGAACGGCAGAGCAAGCCACCCTCGAAGTAGCCTAGCCCTTGACGGTACCTACCTTTCAGCACCGTCACCGCAGAAAGGGAGCAAAGGTAGTGCCCAGCTGAGCTAGGTCCTGGAAATACTAGTACCTGTGTAGGTCAGGTTTTTGGACGGTATTAGTCGAATGAGGGTTGTAAGTCATGAATGTACATGTAGGTATCATGGCCAGTAGCAGCTATGCCCTTACAGTCATGCCCAGATACGACCACGATCAGGTGTCGATCCTGCCATCAGGTTCCGAAAACCGCACCCACTACGTGCCAGCATCAATAGCAGGACCGTGATGCATTGTACACACATAGGTAGTAGGGAGTCAGATTTCCGGGCCTCCTGCATTTGTCACCGAAAGGGCGCGACAGGATGACTGGCAAATTCAAGTCTGCTATCCAATGTACATACATGTGTCTACCCGAGACCAGAAGCATTTCATAAGCCATGCCACGTTAAACCACGTTCTATAGTCCAGGGATGGATGATGTTTCTTGACATGACAAATAACATTGAGGCGGGTATTATTGAAATCTACTTACGTACAGAAAGCGAGCAAGTCCCTTGATACTAGTACTAGTACTCCGAGTCAGTGACAAGGAGCCGAGAAAACCACTAGCTCCAGTCATGCAGTGTCATACGTAGTAGGTAGCACTGCAGCTGCAGGACGAGATCTTCCACGCCGAAGCCCATTGATGCTGCCACTTGAGCTGCTTACCTTCGGCTTCAGCCTCCCGTTCCTCTCTCTTACGTCTCCTCTAGTCACAACTCATGGCTCAACGGCAGACCTAGAAGCATTGGCACTCGACTAACACCAATGGCATCACTGCCACCGCAACATTCCGTCACGGTACTATCCCAGAGACGAGGATGCACCTTAGAGTCCATCAGGCCTTCACAAAGCTCACCTCCGGCGGATGTGTATAAGCCTAGCACAACAAAGAGGATCCAGTCATGGCTACCTTACATCTTCAAAGCTACCGGAATGCCCCGGTCTGCTTGACTAGTCCTCTACAAGACAGGTCTACGCCGACGTGAGATAGCTAACAACAGCGTATAAAAAGCTTTAGGGGAGGCTTGCCCGGAACTAGTCTCCAAAGTCGGCTATGTAGCCTCTGGTTAAAGTAGGGGTCTGGTCTAGATGGTGGATCTATACCCTAGCTCTAGGTTGTAGACTGTAGGTTAAGAACTGGAACCTCAGCCATTACGAGAGGAGGAGCAACAAGTTAGTAGGGATTAGGGCCGGATCCACTACCTAGGCAACGCTTCGGTGCTTGCAGCATGTAAAGATTATAAGTCGAGTCACGGTCCTAGGCTCACCAATCACCCATCACGCAGAAGTTCCATTAGACTGTTAACATGATGCCAGGCAACATTCAGTGTTTGCGAGCCCGGGAACCAGGACTGGAGCTAGGCACATGCAGTACTGTCACATATGTCATTTACTAGTACCCTGACTGGAAGCATCGCAACGTCTATAGACATGGCTACCTCAGGTCATACTCCGTAACAGAAAGGGAGAGGACTGGAAGCAAGGGGCAGCAGGTGCAACGAGAACAACTCAACAACGATTACGGTACTCAGGCCTTGTGGTAGCTGGAATTCTGCCTAGGAGGTAGCTATACTGGGAAGATGGCCTGGCCCTCAGTACAGCGCTCATTCAACTACGTTGGCCATTTCTATGGGAGGTACTACACTTTGGAGTCCGC